AAGGCTAGTTCATTTGCTTGAGCGGGACGAATTCCTGACTCTATTTTGTCAACGGAAGAACGGTCTGAGAGGACTGAACTCCTCATTGACGTTTTAGCTGCTTTGGATCATTTGGAGACTGTTTTTAAAGCTGATCCTGAACTTTGTCGACAGCTCGATGTTGACGAATTTCATGTATCTTCTCCAGTACATGACTCCACCAATCGATTCACCCCACAAGTACCTATTGTTCCAAATAATTCTAAATTTCCAAATCTAGAGAAGTATTTCCAAATCTAGAGAAGTGAAATCTCAAATTTTCTGGCGACCACAAATCGTCTGTCCATAATTTCCTGGAGAGAGTGGCCGAATTGAGTAAATCCCGTCATGTCACGGAAAACCAACTCTTTGATTGTGCCATAGACACATTTTCAGGCAAAGCTCTAAATTGGTATAGAGCAAACGTGACAGATTCGATAGTTGGAAAACCTTGTGTGAGTTGCTTCGTCGTCACTTCGAACCACCCGATTACCGTCCTAGACTTTTCAGAGAAATTTTGGAGTACACTCAGGATACTTCGGAAAGTATTGTTGATTACCTTTCTTGCATGCAAGCTTTCTTTAGGCGTTATGATGGATTGACACCGTAAACACAGTTGGATATTCTATCTCGTAGCTTGTCAGCCTTTTACACCACCCAACTTCCAGTTGTTACTTCCCTCGAGAATCTTGAGCAAGAATGTCTTAAGTTGGAGACTAAAAATTATCGGATTGAGCATTACGTTCCACCTTCTAGGAAGCGTCAACAGTTTGTTGAACCCGACTTCGCATTCTTAGCAGTCAGTGAACCTTCTTCTAGCACTGAATCTCCAAGTACCCTGACTTACTTTGTTGATGAAATTTCACCACAACAGGATTCTAGTCGAGCAAACCTCAAATGCTGGAATTGCCAAAGAAGTGGTCATTTAAATCGCAATTGTACAGAACCTCGAAAGACACATTGCTATCGATGTGGTAACCCTGGTGTGATAGTCAGGAACTGCACTAAGTCTTCGGTAAACGAGCCCCGGAGGAATCGTTAGGTCGTGCTATATCCTCCAAGGCTTTTAGTAAAACGACCAATCCTTCAGTCTTTCCAAATAAAATTCTTCTGGACTACATCATTTCACATGCTCATAAAGACCAACGTCCTTACCTTGAAGTTCAAATTATGGCATTTTGCTTGCTTGGATTATTAGACTCTGGTGCTAGTAGAACTCTTGTCGGATTACCTGGGTACGAAGTCCTTTTAAGCCTTGGGTTCAAGCTCATTAAACAACATAATCCGTGTACTGTAGCTAATGGCCAAGTATGTGATACCATTGGTTATATTCAGGTTCCCATAACTTTAATGGACAAAACAAAGATTATTGATGTTTTAATACTCCCTGAGCTTTCCTACAAGCTAATATTGGGTATAGATTTTTGGAAATCAATGGAAATCATCCCTGATATGAGTCAAAGTTTTTGCCATTTTTCTGAAGCCCAAGAACTGGCACAAGTTTGTAACGTTCAAGCTATCGAACACTTGAATCCTTTTGACTGACAAGCTTTAGACGCCTTGGTCAAGGACAAGATTTCTCAAATAGATTCTGGCTTGGGTTACTGTAAAGTCGCCGAACATGAGATCATTCTTGAGCCTGGCACAAGACCAATCAAACAGAGGTACTACCCCGTTTCCCCATATAAACAACAAATTATAGATGATGAAGTAGAGGAAATGTTGCGACTTGGTGTCATTGAGCGATCTAATAGCCCTTGGTCAAGCCCTGTGTGCTTAGTTAGGTAAAAGGATTGAAAGTTCAGATTCTGCATTGATTTTCGCAAACTCAATCTTCGAACGAAAAAAGGTGCCTATCCAATTCCCTACATATCTTCGATTTTAAATCAGCTTTCTGGCAAGTCCCTTTAGCCAAAAATTCTCGTGAGCATACAGCTTTCACTATTCCTGGAAGAGGTTTATTCCAGTTTAGGAGGATGCCTTTTGGTTTATCTAATGCCCCTGCAACCTGGCAACGTATAGTTGACACAATTTGAGGCCCTGAACGCGAGTTAAATGTTATGGTATATTTGGATGATATCGTATTCCTTTCCAACTCCTTTTTGGATCATCTTAAACTCTTAGGGATTGTCTTTGATAGACTATGCGAGGCTGGTCTCGTCGTTTCCATTGAAAAATGTAATTTCTGCCAACCAGAATTAAAATATTTAGGTTATTTGGTTGATCGTAAGGGTCTTCGTCCTGATCCCGAAAAAGTAGAAGCCATCGTCAATCTTCCTCCGCCTCAAAACATTAATGAAGTCCGCCGTTTTATAGGAACCGCTTCCTGGTATCGTCGTTTTGTTCCTGATTTTTCCGCTCTTTTGTGACCTATTCTGAACCTTACTAAAAAGAACGTCAAGTGGAACTGGACCACAGAATGTCAAAACTCCTTCATTGCCTTAAAGGAATGTTTAGTCACAGCCTCTGTTTTGACAGCTCCCGATTTTGAGAAGCCATTTTATCTGCACACCGATGCATCATCTTTCGGACTAGGAGCCGTCCTTTCTCAGAAATCTGGCGAAGATGAAAAGGTCATCTGCTATCTTTCCAGGTCTCTTTCCAGACAGGAAATGAAACTTTCTGCTTTTGAGAAAGAATGGTTAGCAGTAATTTGGAGCGTTGAGAAACATCGTCATTATTTAGTTCACTTCACTATTATAACTGACTATGCCTCTCTCTTATGGTTACATAGGTTAAAGGATCCTCAAGGTCGTTTGGGTCATTGGCAACTTCGTTTGCAACAATTTGATTTTGACTTAATCCATCGCAAAGGCAAAGATCATATTGTCCCTGATTTTCTTTCCAGATCGGTCCCCATTTCCATCGAGTCCATTCAAATTTTCACTCAACCTGATTTTAATTCCAACACTACTGATAAATGGTATCTTTCTATTATCCAAAGAATCGAGAAAAATCCTCTGAAATTTCCTTTGTGGCGTGTGCAAGGTGGCATCCTTTATAAATTCCTCAAGACTCCTTTCTCTGAACTATCTTCTCCATCTGAAGAATGGAAAGTGGTAGTTCCAAAAGATAAAAGGCCCGCAATTCTAAATCGTTGTCATGACATTCCAACCTCTGGTCGTGTTGGTGTCTTTAAGACCCTTCGCAAAATCCGTCAAAATTATTTTTGGCCCAAGATGAAGGCCGACATAGTTCGTTACATTAAGTCTTGTCGTCATTGCGCTCAGAGTAAGGTTGAACAAGTGAAATCTGCAGGATTAATGGGAGAAAGACCGGTCATCACTGAACCATTTCAGTCAGCCTCAATTATAAAGGACCCTCAGTTTTCCTGTATCCATGTCGTGCCGCTAAGGCCAAATCTCTAGTTGAACATGTAGAGAATTTCTTTTTACTTTTTGATGCCCCCAAATTTTTCACCTGTCACAATGGTGTTCAGATGAAGTCGAAGGAGTTTCAGGCCTTGTGTCAACGTTATAGGACCCACATTTTCTATACAGCCAACTACAATCCCCGTGCAAATCCCACAGAACGTCATAACCGTGTCATTAAGACTATGTTACGTATCTATGTGCGTCAAGAAGATCACAGATCTTGGGACGAACATCTCCAAGAGATTGGCGAAGTTACTGGGTATAGTCCATATTTTGTTTTGTTTGGGAGAGAACATCATTTGTATGGCAACGACCATTCCATCAAATTTCCACATATACTTCACCCAATTTGGATACTCATCTGAAAACCCGACAGGAAGGTTTTGTAAAATTGTACAAGCAAATCGAAAGCAAAATTAAATCCGCAAGAACCCAGAATGCTACTAAGTACAATCTTCGTCGGCGTCCTGTAACTTTTGATCCAGGTGATAAGGTTTGGCGAAAGAACAAAATCCTTTCTGACGCTGCGAATTACATTACTGCTAAGTTGGCACCACAGTATGTTGGTCCATTTTCTATAAAGCGTAAATGTGGATCTTGGTCGTATGAACACAAGACGATCATGGTAACTCGACGGGTGTCTGGCATGTAGGGTTAACTTTCGATGCTAATCAACAACAATCATTAATCTTGCACTGGGTCGATACCCAACGGTATACCAGACTGAAATCTATGCCATACAGGCATGAGCTCAGGAGAATCTCCAGAGAGGTTCAGCATATTTATCTATGCAGCGACAGCCAGGCAGCACTCCGAGTCCTAGGCTCAGACAAGGTCAACTCGACTGTATAACTACCCTTAAACTACTCAGTGGGCTCAACAAGGTCGCCCTTGTTTGGGCATGGACTCGAGCCTGCTGTTGGGGTTGCTTCCTGTCTGGTGGAAGCCATAATTAGGAACCGGTCCAACAACCCGTTCCAAGACGAATGACTGGAAGAGGAAGGCCTCAGACAGTCAAGGATCTTTATACAAGGTCCTTCAGACTGCAAACAGGTAAAAAGCCTCCTAAAGCTAAACAGGAACCAACTGAAAGCCATCACAGTCCTGACGGGACACTGGGTGGTCAGATACCACCTACACAAAATCGGACTCAGCAATGAGACGGAATGTAGGTTCTGCAGCGAAGCAGACGAAACTACCAAGCATATAGTCTGCGAATGTGACGCCCTCGTCAGTAGCAGACTACGATAATTCGGGTACAGCTACAGTTGCGGGCTCCTAAGGTAAGACAGGGTTGCACCAAGAGACTCTACGTGCTACCTGTAAAGGCTCCACTTTCAAATCAATCAAATCAAAAACGAATTTGAAGCTAATTCAGCATATTTTTCAATCTCACCTTCCATCTGAAGTAAAGCTAATTTAATTAAAAGCTTCATTTCCATTTCTCAAACAAACGCGTCTAAAATTAAAATGCACCACTTATACAAATACGCATATGGGAGATTCCAAATATTTAAACAACTAAATAATTTGAAAATATTTGTCAAAAGATTTCAGGAGAACAATAAAACATCTTGTTGCAAAATATTCTTTTTCAGTTACCAATAAGTTTTTATAGAACAATAACTATGATCGCTCTTGCAAAACTAGGCCTATGTGTTGCACTTTTTGTGAACTGCATCAACTGTGCCAGAATCTTAGGGGTATTCCCATTACCATGGGGTAGTCATTACATTTTGGGAACCAAACTGTTAAGAGGACTAGCGGAAGCGGGACATGATATCACCATGATTACTCCGTACAGATATAAAGAGACTCCTACAAATGGAAGCTGGACTGATATTTTATTGGATGGAGCTGAAGGGAAATTGCCAGGTAAAAATAAGTTTAGAATATAATTTTCTCTATGAGAATTTCATAAGGACTATTACAATTAGGATAAAGTTCATTATTGTATTTTCCTATTTCAGTTCCAAATCAAAACGAATTATTTCAAGTAGGACAAAAAAATTTCATCGAACAATATTACATGTACCTCAACTGGCTGACAGCCACATCAAATATTACCCTAAATCATCCGAATGTGCAGGCATTAATTAATTCGAATGCCACGTTCGATGCTGTAATAGTAGGAAATATGATGGCAGAAGCTCAATTTATTTTGGCCCACATTTTCGAGTGTCCTTTGATTTTATTGAGTACAGTGGGGCCAAATGGAGCTACCAATGAAAAAGCTGGAAATCCGTCGCCGGCTTCAACTATACCGAATTTTTTTATGCAGTTTGAAGACAAACATATGATGACTTTGAAGGAAAGATTTTGGAATACTATTTATTATATAGTAGGTCATTACTATATGCACTCTGAGCAAATTCCAAGAAATGGGAGAATTTTACAAGAAACATTTCCAGATTTACCAAATATTTACGATATATACTATAATGTTTCATTGATTCTATTGAATTCACATTTGAGCTATACTGGGGCAGTACCATTGGCACCAAACATGATTGAAATCGGAGGTTACTACATAGATCCACCGAAAAAATTACCAAAGGATTTACAAGACTTTTTAGACGATGCCAAAGATGGTGCAATTTATTTTAGTATGGGATCTCATTTGAAAAGCGACATAATGCCCGAGGAGAAAAAGAAGATTTTTTTGAATGTTTTCAAAAAGTTGAAACAGAAAGTTTTGTGGAAACTTGAAGTTGATCTTCCGGAGAAGTCCAAGAATGTTTTTATTGGGAAATGGATGCCACAGCAAGAGATTTTAGGTAATATTCAAATATCATTATTAGTAATAGACTAATCTCACTATTTTTTAAGCTCATCCAAATGTTAAACTTTTCATAACCCACGGAGGTCTTCTAAGTACATCTGAAGCAATCTACAACGGAGTTCCATTATTGATTATGCCATTATTCGGTGATCAAAAGACTAATGCAGCTCAAGCAGTTAAAAATGGATACGGATTAAGATTATCGTTTCACACCCTTACTGAAACAGACCTAAGTAATGCTGTTCAAGAATTGCTATACAACAAAACCTATACTGAAGCTATTCGAAAGACATCAGAACTATTTCTTGATAGGCCAATGTCGCCATTGGAAACTGCAATTTATTGGGTCGAGTATGTTATCAGGCATAAAGGGGCGCCCCATTTGAAGGTACCTGGAGTCGGTATAGATTGGTACAAGTATTATAACTTGGATATTTATGCGATAGTTTTAGTAGTAGTTAGTTTATTTTTGTATGGCCTAAGTTTTTTGATTAAATCTGTTATAAGATTCATTAGAGGTTCAAGAAAAATAAAAATAAGTTAGGAATTTGATGATTTCAATATTTGTATTTGTTCCCAACTCAAACTGCATAGATTAGCAATAGGTTCTGCTAGGTCAGTGTGATAAGAAAATGAAGACAAATAACCTTTTTTTATCTTTTATTAAATATACTGAAACAAAAATAAATGTATTTATGATAATATTTGCTGCAGATATTTGAATGACTTGCAGTTCAATGTTTGTTTAATTATCCTCATGTCTGAGTTAAATGAATTTTTCCATGTAGAAATCCAGTCTGCCAGACTGAAAAATCTTTGAGTCTCAAATTATTTACAGTTTAATATATGAATAGATATTGGAGACAATTGGTGGACAATTACTTAACTTTTTTTCTATTAGAGATACAAAGCTGAAATTTTCTTATTCTAGTAGTGGACCACATTCCCTGAAAATTTCAACTCATTTGGACTTATGATTTAGATCTCTGACAACTTTGAAAGATCATAATTTTTTTTCTATTAGAGATAGAAAGCTGAAATTTTCAGGGATTCTTATCCCAGTGGAGGACTATAATCCCTGAAAATTTCAGCTCATTTGGACTTTCTCTGTTCCTGAGATAAAATCGTGTTAAGCAATTTGGGGTCATTCATCATTTCTTCAATGTTTCTGAGTGCCTTTTTTCATAGAATCTGACTCGAAATCTGAGAATAATTTACTGTATAGAGTTCGGAGGTTCCCAAAGGACCATAAGGATACAAAATCTCAACAAAAAAAAAATTGAAATTTCATCGTTTTAGTAAGAAGCTAGCTACCTTGTGATTTAGATTTTGGAAAACTTTGAAAGATCATACTTAACTTTTTTTCTATTATAGATAGAACGCTGAAATTTTCAGCGATTCTGACCCCAGTAAAGGGCTACAATCCCTGAAAATTTCAGCTCATTTGGACTTATATTTCCTGAGATAAAATCGTGTTAAGCAATTTGGGGTGATTTATTAATTTTTCAATGTTTGTGAGTGCTTTTTTTCATAGAATCTGGCTCCAAATCTGAGAATAATTTACTGTATGGAGTTTGGGGGATCCCAAGGGACCATTTCGATATAAAATTTCGACAAAAAAAAAAATTGAAATTTCATCGTTTCAGTAAGAAGCTAGCTACCTGATGATTTAGATTTGGGAAAACTTTGAAAGATTATAACTTTTTTTCTATTATCGATAGAAAGCTGAAATTTTCAGCGATTCTTACCCCAGTAGAGGACTACAATCCCCGAAAATTTCAGCTTATTTGGACTTATAATTCCTGAGATAAAATCATGTTAAGCAATTTGGGTTGATTTATCAATTTTTCAATGTTTGTGAGCGCCTTTTTTCATAGAATCTGGCTCCAAATCTGAGAATAATTTACTGTATGGAGTTTGGGGGATCCCAAGGGACCATTTCGATATAAAATTTCGACAAAAAAAAAATTGAAATTTCATCGTTTCAGTAAGAAGCTAGCTACCTGATGATTTAGATTTGGGAAAACTTTGAAAGATTATATTTTTTTTTCTATTATCGATAGAAAGCTGAAATTTTCAGCGATTCTTACCCCAGTAGAGGACTACAATTCCCGAAAATTTCAGCTTATTTGGACTTATAATTCCTGAGATAAAATCATGTTAAGCAATTTTGGGTGATTTATCAATTTTTCAATGTTTCCGAGTGCCTTTTTTCATAGAATGTGGCTCCAAATCTGAGAATAATTTACTGTATGGAGTTCGGAGGATCCCAAAGGACCATAAGGATACAAAATCTCAACAAAAAAAAATTTGAAATTTCATCGTTTTATTAAGATGATTATAGATTTTGGAAAACTATGAAACGTCATAACTTTTTCTCTATTTAAGATAGATAGCTGAAATTTTCAGCGATTCTTACCCCAGTAGAGGACTACAATCTCCGAAAATTTCAGCTTATTTGGACTTATAATTCCTGAGATAAAATCATGTTAAGCAATTTGGGTTGATTTATCAATTTTTCAATGTTTGTGAGTGCCTTTTTTCATAGAATCTGGCTCCAAATCTGAGAATAATTTACTGTATGGGGTTTGGGAGATCCCAAGGGACCATTTCGATATAAAATTTCGACAAAAAAAAAATTGAAATTTCATCGTTTCAGTAAGAAGCTAGCTACCTGATGATTTAGATTTGGGAAAACTTTGAAAGATTATAACTTTTTTTCTATTATAGATCGAAAGCTGAAATTTTCAGCGATTCTTACCCCAGTAGAGGACTACAATTCCCGAAAATTTCAGCTTATTTGGACCTATAATTCCTGAGATAAAATCATGTTAAGCAATTTGGGGTGATTTATCAATTTTTCAATGTTTCTGAGTGCCTTTTTTCATAGAATCTGGCTCCAAATCTCAGAATAATTTAGTGTATGGGGTTTCCGAATGACCATTCACATACAAAATCTCATCATAAAAATTTGAAGTTTTATCATATGATAAGATGATTGAATAAGACAATCAAACAAATTTCGCACGACACGGAACAGAAATTTAAGTCCTTGAAGATTAATTTTGGAGAAGTGCCTACATCATATACAAACAAAATTGAACAGCGAGAAAAAATACGCATTTCAGTATCCACTATTCAGGTGAACATTCTTACAGATAAAATAATTAGTAGTCATTGTGAGATAATGTTGATCAAAGCAATATTTTTGGTGGCCACTGCGTTATCATGCACAGAAAGTTACAAAATCTTGGGAATTTTTCCCATGCCTGGGATAAGCCATTACATTTTAGCTTCAAAATTGATGAAGGGACTGAGTGAAGCTGGACACGATATCACTATGGTGAGCCCTTATGCTTTGAAGGACTTGCCAAAAAATGGAACTTTCACTGATGTGGTACTTGATGGAATGGCTGATGATTATTTTCAAAGTTAGAACCTTTTTATTTTTTTCAATAACTACCTACTTATTTACACTATTTTGAATCTGAGTTATTTTTTTAGTTACACTCAAACACGTGAATCGATTCGAGGGCGATAGTAAAGGCCACATAGCAAGTTTAAATATGATCCTAAATAGATTCATAAAAATTGCCAACGACACTCTGCACCATCCAAAGATGAAGCAACTAGTCGACTCTGATCAAAAATTTGATGCTGTGGTAATGGAACAGTTTTTCAATGATGCGCATAAAGTTTACGCGCATATATTTGATTGTCCTCTAATACTCTTAAGTAGTATTGGGCCAAACAGCATGGTGAATCCTACAGTAGGCAATCCACAACCGGTTTCGTACGTACCTCACCTTATCGCAGGAGATATTTCCAAAAATTTATCGTTATACAACAGAGCAAAAAATTTGTATTTATACATAGAAGAATTCTTATTTATACGGGTATTCACACATCCAAAACATGATCAGATAATCCATGATATCTACCCAAATTCACCTGCCTTATCTCAACTCTACAAGAACGTATCCCTTCTTTTGCTAAATTCGCACATAAGCTTGAATGGCCCGCAGCCTATGGTACCAAACATGGTGGAAATTGGAGGGTACTTTATTGACCCACCCCAAAAACTACCCCAGGATTTACAAGAGTATATGGACAATGCTCCAGAGGGGGTAATATACTTCAGTATGGGTTCCAACTTGGAAAGCAAAGATTTACCTGAGACAAAAAAACGTGCCATACTGAACGTACTTGGAAAGCTCAATCAGAAAGTTATTTGGAAGTTTGAAGAGGATTTACCTGGGAAACCTTCGAACGTTTTGATCAGAAAATGGTGTCCACAACAAGATATTTTAGGTAATTTTCCAATTAAACTAAGCGTAATATTGCAATGATATTATTTAAGCTCATCCAAACATCAAGCTCTTTATCACTCATGGAGGCCTTCTAAGTACCACCGAAGCAATTTACCACGGAGTACCAGTTCTTGCCATTCCAGTGTTCGCTGATCAGCCAATGAATGCAGCACGGGCTGCAGCAGATGGTTACGGACTGAAATTATCATACCACGATCCAGATTTCAATGAAGAAACCTTAACTTCATTGATCAATGAGCTTTTAACGAATTCAAAATACGCGGAAACTGCAAAAAGAAAAGCGAGTTTGTACCATGACAGAACCATGAAACCTATGGAAACTGCAGTGTATTGGGTTGAATATGTGATAAGACATAAGGGGGCGACGCATTTGCGTGTAGCTGGATTAAATTTGCCTTGGTATAAGTATTTTTTGGTTGATATTGTAGGGAGTTTTGTAGCTAGTTTTCTGTTAGTGTTGTACATTGTAAAACGAATAATTAAAACAGTGTTTTGTAAAACTAAAATAGTTGGAAGAATGAACAAAGAAAAGAAGAATTAATAGTTATTTATATACCAAGTGAGTTAGGTACATTAATAAACATTTCAATGTACAAGGAATCAAGTATTTTGTAGCAGATTTTTATATGGGCAGAGTGAGTAAGTTGAAAATATGTATTTTAAATCACTGAGGTGATAAACGTCCACTTGTAGATTGTAAATGAGTCGTTTCGGCTTTTCAGCCGCTCAGCACTGCTACCTTTGCAGATATTTTGTACGTGACTCTACATCTTAAGTTGTCTCCAGGAAGCGTAGACTTCTGCCGAAAGAAGCTATTTTCCTTGGTGTCAGTTGGCCCACTTCTTTTGGTGACAGTGTTGCCCCCTCGAGGAATTTGAGCCTCTTGCAAAATTGGGCTGGACATACGCACAGCAGGTGCTATTGCGTCTGAGCAGAATCTGCAGAGATCGTCTTCTGCTCTGCCAATTAACCTTAAATGGTATTTTACCAGGCAGTGTTCTGTAAGCAGTCCTACCACCAATCTGATGTCTGGTTTACTCATGTTTAGGAGCTGTTCAGCTCTTTTTGCTGAAAAGGTGACTGCCTTAGTCCCGGAGTGTGCCTCCAGTAGGATGACAGTTGGTCTTTCTCCCATTTGTTGAGTTCTTCCATGATGTGGCTTTTCTTAAGCCACAGTAGGGCTGTGGTCCATGGTATGGTGTTGAGGCCCCTTCTTTCGTGAGGCCATTTGCTTCTCCGTTTCTTTCTATACCTCGGTGACCAGGCAGCGTTACCTGGTTGTGTGTCGCTAGTGTTTTTAGGGTCTGTTTCTATGTAAACTATGTAGACAATGTAGACAACAGAAAATTTAAAAGGACCCCGCAATATTTAGAAGGAAATTGGTTACCCGTGATATTTGAATGAAATTTAAATATGTTATTAAACATGCCGTAAACAACATTTTTTACCATGGGCGCAACCTTGTATATATAACAGGTGAGGCGGTATCGGCTGTCAAATATTGAAATTTCATATTCAAAAGCAGGGTAACTATGACAGATTTTGATGAAGCGAGTATAGAGTCCTACTAAGTCGAACAAGGTAAATCGAAAAATGTCAGCCATTTTGACATCTGTCAAAACCCTGCCAAACAGCAGCACTCATATTTTTCAGTTTTCAATATTTCATGATGTGTCATTTAACAGTTTTAGTCTATGTCAATTTTGAGTTGAAAACTTGAAAAAAAAATTACAGAACAGTCAAAACCTGTCATTCATTTTAGTAGGAAAAAAGATTCATGTCTGGTTCTTTTTTGTTTTAAGGCAGTTTATTGGTAATAAAACATTAAGCAAAGGTCATAGACATCAAATTTTGACAGCTGTCAAAATCTGAAACCTGTGAATAAGTTTTTAAATAATTGGAACAGAACTAGAGTTCAGTTTTTTTTTCTTCAATTAAAGCTAATGTCAGATTCTGACAGCTGTCAAAATTTGATGTCTATGAGTTTTGTTTAATGATTTATCACCAATAAACTACCTTCAAACGAAAAAGGGCCAAATTGGAATTTTTTTTTTTGTTACTAAAACAAATGACAAGTTTCGACATTTCTGTAATTTTTTCTTTTCCAATTTCTGAACTGAGAGTTTACATAGGTTGAAACTGTCAAATGACACAACATGAAATATTGAAAACTGAAAAATATGAGTGCTGCCGTTTGGCAGGGTTTTGACAGATGTCAAAATGGTTGACATTTTTCGATTTTCCTTGGTTGACTTATTGGGAATCGATACTTGCTTCATTAAAATCTGCCATAGTTACCCTGCTTTTCAATATTATGTCATTTCCGTTTGGTAGATTCAGTGCGCACTGAGTGTATTTGCATCCTTTTAATCGACCCGTAGAAGAAAAAGACAGAAATAGAAAAAATTGCACTAGATCCGCACTAGATCTACCAATCGGAAACGCCATTAGATTCCAATATTTGACAGCTGATACCGCCTCACCTGTCATATATACAAGGTGACGCCTATGGTAAAAAATTTTGCTTACGGCATTTCCAATAACATATTTAAATTTCATCCAAATATCACGGGTAACCAATTTCCGTTTAAATATTGCGGGGTCCTTTGAGTAATGTTTTTGAAAGTTTGCATTGCATTAAATTTATATTGTATCAAATTAGACATTATCTACAAAAACAGAAACATAACCTTAAAGGCCTGCCAACTGTCAAAAATTGTATATTTTACGCGTTGTCTACATATTTTACACGTTGTCTACATAGATAACATAGTTTACATTGTCTACGCGTTGTTTACACTAGACGTAGACAATCTTTGTTTACGCGTAGATGCCCATCTCTGGTCCAAACCATTTGGCAAATTTGTCTAAAAGCATCTGAGATGTATTTTAGGCTATTCTAAGCGATTTGACCCGGAGGGCCAGCCAAATTTTTGACTGTGACTCAAAATGGCGTCTTTTTCCCAAAATGGCGGATCATAAATTGTTATTTCTCATTTGTCAACAAATTCTAGCGTTCGATATGTCGTTTTCGACTAATTTTGGGTCGTAGAGTTAGGATCAAAATGGCGCCTTTTTTGCAAAATGGCGGATCATAAATTGGTAATTATTATTTTTTTCGACTGAGTGTGGGTCGTAGAATTCAATAAAGATATTATTTTTTTGTTTTCGTCAAAATGGCGGCCATTTTTCAAAATGGCGTACCATAAATTGATATATTTTTTTTAAAGCTCTTATTAGCGTTTAATATGTCGGTTTCGACTAATTTTGCGTCGTAAAATTCAAATAAATTAAATTTGCTTTTGATTCTGGTAAAAGTTTATTAAAAACTAGTGTACAGGGTCGTTAGAATATGGAGATCCTCAGTCTAGTAGTTTTTCTTGATCTTATTCTGAAGGGTCTTCATAATTTTCACTAAAAAGGAGTAACATATTAGTATATGTTTCAAAAATTTTCAACCTAGTCATTTACCTCTTGTTCAAACATGCATTATTGCATTTGCACTGTAGTGTGCAAGGTAAACCTGTGCGTCGACATGAACAACGTTGGGAATCACAGCCAGACTTGCAGCCACACCTTTCCAACTCCCTACATGCTGTCCATATGGACCAAATAGAAGTCAATTTTGTCCAAACAGGTTCCCACATTTCATTTTGTTTGGTCCAACCCCGAGAACCTGGAGAAGGGGGAGCACAATGAAGCATATCTAACGATCTACTCCAGATTTGGCCTGCTTGATATGCGGCTCGGAGAAAGTGTTCTGCGAATGTAGCTGAGCTAGGTGGAATCAGATGTAAGGGCCTATGAAGAGCTGTTTCCGTAACTGATCAAGTATTTGATGTTCAGAGGTTGCGGAGTATAGCTTCGAAGTAAACTCTTCCAAAAGTGCCTGACTGTGACATTGAATATGGTCGTTTGCCAAAGATATAAACTTAAAGGCCTCGGTTGCCGACTCACATGCCATCCATGTTTTCCATGCTCCTTTCTTGCCTTTTCCACTGAAAAAGGATACATTGTCGGACCCAGTATACGCATGAAAGCCTCTTAACCCCATACATTTCTCCGTACCAGTTCCTCTTAACCCATAGCCTAGAGCTGATATATGAATGAAATACACAATACCAAAACATCAGTATGGACTGTACGAACTATGTATGACCTTTTTGGCTCCACTTTTGGCCATGTCTGATACGCATGTATCAAAATTCGCCCGTCTACCTCCTCCCAATTCTGGCACAATTTTCCAGATAATTCAAACAAAATATTTTTGGAAGCCCTAACACCACCAATATTTGTAACAGTTTTCAAGTTTCCTTCTTCCACTAGACCTTTAGATAAAAGTACAAATAATTCGGTACACCTGTACTACACCACCTCCGACTTACGACTGACGCAGACGCAGAATGCACAGAGCTTGGTTTGGAATTTCCGCGCTAGAGTAAGGGGCGCGCAGAAGACGAGTGATGTATGGGGGTGTGCTACTAATATTTATTAGCGAGATCCTCTTTGTATATTTTTAAATTGTTGTTATGTATGTGGCCCATACAGATAAAAAGCTGAACCGGCTGCAATTTGGAAAAATCCTGGGAGAATCTTGGGGCAAAGCCGCTACCGTGAATAACGCAGTATCGGCTTTCAAAGCAACAGGCATATCACCATTCAATCCGGATATCATACCGGACTATGCATTTTTACTGGAGCAAATAATAGAGCCCGTTCATCAGAATGCTGAAAACGAGATTGTGGAACAGAATATGCCAATGCCAGTTTCTCCTCAACCTCAACCTGGATGCTCACAAATTCTCCGCCAAAGAAACGCCCAGGAACAAGGTTCCCCTCAACCAGGATGTTCTGGTATTCGCCGCAATACTAACAACCCAAAACCAGATTCTCCAGACGATTCAGAAATAACGCCTGGAAAAGTTCTTGACCAGGTGTCTTCTGTACCCAAAGTTACACAAGCTATGAAAAAGGTCCGAGCCAATCTGGGAGGAGTTTTATCTTCACCGGCGTACATCAGAAATAGATAAGAAATGGAAGCAAAGAAGCGCAAAGCTTTAGAGTCAGCCAAAGATACCAAAGAAACCTAAACGTTCGGATATTCATAAAAAAAAAAAGTAGCAAGTAGCCTCTTCTTCAGAGTCCGATGACATGATTTTAGATGATTTTTCCAGTGGAGAAGAGTGTTTCAGTGATATGGAAAATGAATGCGTTGGATGCGGCGAAGACATTCGCAAACGAAGAAAAAGGACGACTGGATCAAGTGCGTTCTTTGTTCAATTTTGATCAGAAAAAAATTTGTGGGTACCCGACACAAGACCATATAGCTCCGCTATTTCTTAACTGATCGTTTCAAGTTATATCTCTTTTGAAAGAGAATGAAATTACCTATACAGCTGTCAAAGTTGAAATTCTTTGTAATTTTGTTAAAATTTTCCATGTCGATTTTCTCGAAAACGGTGTCCAGTGGCGGGATACTTCTTATAGGCTTTTTGTCATAATCCCTGTCCTGCAATTATTCTGACATTAGAGGTCGATTTTGTTTTTTGGCAAAATTAACTCTGAAAATATATTACTTACATTCTCCAGTATTCATGGTTTTTATTAAATCTGAGAAAAATTATTGAGGGCATGGGCACCCCAAAACAAATTTTGCCTGCTGCGCAGTGGTTACCTTACCGTAATTCATTATTTTTTAGCCTCCTCACTTGAAATAATCACGAGCTGCCACTGGTTAAGGGTGGGGTCTTTCAAATTTAGCTTCCTTCTTCTTGTGAACGGGACAAGGATTGTTTTGTTTGCATTTAGTAATAATCCCTCGTCTTCGCTCCAATTTTTAACGATGTTTAGGGCACTTTGCATTCAGTTTGTCACTACGCCTTCATGTTTGCCCTTGATTATAATTTACATAGCCTATGACCTGGTATACAGCATTACTCAATCTGGTAAGAATTTTGTCTACCACCAGTTTCCATAGTAGTGGAGAAAGAACACCCCCTTGAGCACACCATCTGACCGTGGTAGCGTTCATTTCAGTCGTAACGTAACGGTGTTTCAGCATCGACTCTATCCATTTTACTAAACGTCCACTTACCTTTGTTGTTATATGTGTTCAATAATGTTATTCAATTTCAAAATGGAATAAAATATATACAGTAATAAGTTAAGTATTTATTTATGTTGATAGTTAATAAATACAAGATTAATTTTTTCACATTGAAAATATTAATTTCGTCTCTTCCCAATATGCATCCGATACAATTTTAAAAAAATTGATAACTCTGTTTTCATAATGATGAGATGATTGAATAAACAATCATAATCAAAAAATTAAGTTTTAAAAACAAATTACCTCTCAATTCCGGATGACGAACATTAAGATTATTGAACCTAGATAAGGCCTTGAAGATTATTAAGAAAAGTGCCCGCATCACGCAAACAGATTACACATTATAGTATCTCAATAATAATTAAAGCATAAAAACCCCTTATAGAATAAAGCAATTTAGTAATAGTTGTGAGATCATGTTGATCAGAACGATATTTTTTGTTGCTACTGCTCTAGCATGCACAGAAAGTTACAAAATTTTGGGAATTTTTCCCATGGCTGGGATAAGCCATTACATTTTAGCTTCAAAATTAATGAAGGGGTTGAGTGAAGCTGGACACGATATAACTATGGTAAGCCCTTTTGCTTTAAAGGACTTACCGAAGAAAGGAACTTTCACTGATGTGGTACTCGATGGAATGTTTGAGACTTTTCAACGTAAGTACTTAGTTTTTTTCCAATAATTATATTATTATGTTTTTATTATCTTTTTTTTTCAGAATCCCTAATAGACATGAATCTTTTTCACTACGGTTCATTAGGACCAATTGACCAGGAGAAAATTTTAAGGCAAATTGGTATAGCAATGGCCAACGATACCCTCCATCATCCAAAAATGGTAAAGTTTGCAGCTTCGAATCAGAAATTCGACGCTGTAATAATGGAACAATTTACCAACGACGCCCTCAAAGTTTACGGATACATTTTCGATTGTCCTGTTATTTTATTGCAAAGCATGGGTGTAAGTTCCTGGATAAATAACATTGTTGGCAATGCGGAGCCTGTTTCGTACGCTCCCCAAGTATTAGGAGTAAATGATATTTCCAAGGATTTGTCCTTCTCCAACAGAGCGGAAAACCTCTATTTGCACATACTTAACAGTGTGATGACAAAGTTTAGACTTTTACCAGAACATGATAAAATTATACGTTCTATGTATCCTGAAGCCCCTTCAATGGAGGATTTATACCACAATGTATCACTAGTTCTAGTAAACTCACATACAAGTATCCATCCACCGTTGCCGCTTGTACCAAACGTAATCGAAATCGGAGGGTATTTTGTGGATCCGCCAAAAAAATTGCCAGAAGACTTACAAGAATATTTGGACAATGCTCCGGATGGCGTTATATATTTTAGTATGGGGTCAAATATAAGAAGCAAGGATATTACTCCAGAAAAAAAGCAAGCTATATTGAATGTTTTTGGGAGATTAAAGGAGAAGGTTATTTGGAAATTTGAAGAAAATTTGCCTGGAAAACCGTCGAATGTTATGATTAGGAGTTGGTGTCCACAGCAAGACATTTTAGGTAAGAAATAAGAATTATTTATTGTTTTTTTGTTTTATTTTTCATTATGTTGTTTATTTTTACCTTGTCTAATTCTTATACTAAGCATTATTTTGTAATGTAAGTTTTGTGTATATGTACAATGTTATTTTGTTTTCTTTTAGACTTTATTTTAAATTGTTATTGTTCATTATTTTTGACACTTTTATTATTCCTTTTAGCTCATCCAAACGTGAAACTGTTCATTTCTCACAGTGGTCTATTAAGTATCACAGAAGCAATTTACCATGGTGTACCAATATTATGCATACCAGTTTTTGGTGACCAACCAGCCAATGCCCAACGAGCCGTAATGAATGGCTACGCATTGAGAATGGATTATCTCGATCCAGATTTCAACGAGGAAAAATTAGGTTATTTAGTAAATGAACTTCTAACCAATCCAACATACAGAGACACTGCAAAGGAAAAATCCAGAATATACCACGATAGACCAATGAAACCGATGGAAAGCGTAGTTTATTGGGTTGAGTACGTGATAAGACATAAAGGGGCGCCACATTTGAGGGTAGCTGGAGCCCTGCTGCCTTGGTACAAGTATTATATGGTTGATGTATTAGGAACATTTGTAGCTAGTTTTTTGTTGGTTTTGTACATTTTAATACGATTAATTAAAAACGTGTTAAGTAGAACAAAAAAAGTTAAAACGAAAACAACAAAAAAAGATAAAAAGCATTAAGATAATATAATTATTTATAATTATAATAATATTTATTAAAAAAATTTAACTGGCATGTTTCATTTATATACGTACTTATTTGAAATATTATTTCCATTTTCACGATTCCAAAAAAGTTATTGTAGCATTATCGTAAATGCCGGAATCGATAGAGCCATCAAAATATCTACGCCCCAGAATATCGCATAGAAACATAAAATCCATATATGGAAACAGCTATTATGCATTCCCCTGGAAGCTGAATTTGATGAGGCATGAAAAGTCTATAAAGAATAATTTGATCATTTCTGTTTACCAGTGTACGAAAAACATGAGAAGTAGAAAGGAAGGAACTTCAAGAGCAAACCTCTAATCTCAAATTAGGCTTTACGCCTCTAGAACTAGAGGAATATTCTAGAATGGTTGGACAGCCTTTCTTTTTTAACAAATAACTGAAACAAATTAATGACGTCAAAAATGTTCGTCGGTTCTTAAAACCAGAAATTAAACAGTTTTTGTAATGTAGATACTGTTTGTTTCACGAGGGCACTGTTGCCAGGTCAAAAAAATTAAATTCACCAGAAATTGGACTAAAAAATCACCAGATTTAAAAAAAAAAAAAATCACCAGAAATCTTGAAAGTTGATTTTTCAGGAAACTTCTCGCCTTACGGGTTTATATCAAACCAAGTAGGCTTTGGAAACATGTATGTATTGCAATGTCGGTATTACAGGGCGCCATATTTAAATTTTGAAATTTTGCAAAGCCCACTTTGTCCCTTGTCAAACAGTGTTGCCAACTACAACTTATAACAAATATTGTGTCAATCATTGAGGCTCGAATTTATACAAAAAAAAAAAGCCCAAGTAGGCCTTGCAAATTTCAAATTTTCCATAACAGTAATTATATAAACATCGGCAACACTGTTGGGCAAAATGTCAAATATCATTTATGACAAGCGATAAAATTACTACTTATCAAAAACTAAGTGAACCTTGAAACAATCCTGGGCTGGGATCATGACAAGTAGAATTTTATTTTCATGACGTCACCCGCGACCTATTTATCGCGTATACTACAGGCGATGATCACTGTTGCTAGGCAGCCTGACGTAATGAAAGTAGAATTCTAGTGGAATTCCACTTGTCGTGATCCCAGCCCAGGTTTTAATCGATGTCGGTAATACAGATAACTGTAAGCAAAAAATTTATTAAACCAAGTAGGTCTTGGAAACAACCCAGCCATTTTAAATTAACTTTCAAAAACAAGGCCTACTTTGAAACGTTAAATTGCGTTAGGGTTACTACATTTTTAGACTAGGGTTGCTACGTTTTAAATTTTTCTTCCAAAACCTGATAATTTTGTGAGTTTTAACAAATCCTTTGATAAAACCAGTTCAGGAAAAATGTATGTCTATCTCTTTTTTATACAAGCTAGTAAAAAAAGACACGAATACACTCAGTGCACACTAATGCCGTTGAAAATAATGCAAATTGAATAAAACAATTAAGCAAAAATAGAGCTTCAAAAGAGGTAATTTTAATTAAAAAATATCGTAAGTTTGACGCAACACTTCGCAGGCCCATAGGGTCGGGGTCTTTTTAATTTACGAGCCCGAAGGGCCGGGGTCTACTTAAATTACGAGCCCAGAGGGCCGGGGTCTTTTTAAATTACGAGTCCGTAGGGGCGAGGGTTTTTATGTGTGGTCACCTTCATCGTGTGTACCTGGTTTTTCAGTCTCAATTTTTCGGGAATTTTTTTCTATTTTCTGAATTGAGAGGGGAGGAAACTCCAATTAGTTGAATTTTTGTTAACTGCCGGAAAAGATTATAATATTTGGGTTTGACAGTTTGACTATTAGACATCTATTAGATGACATTGTGGCCCATAGACAAAAAGTCGGATTCGAAATTCGATAATGTCATATGGAGAAAATGTGGTTCATCGTTGCGACATTTTACACAATATCTTAAGAAGCTTAACAATTGGATATTGTTCTGAGAATCAAATGATTGCTTAGAGGAAATCAGTTAATCAATTGAGAATGATATAGGAAAAAAAATGGAAATCGCCTAGTAAAATATTTAACAATCATAAGTAACTAGTTGTAATTCTTAGGAATACATGGGATTTATTGATCAGTGATTGTAGTAAAATTCAACTTTGAGACTCAACTGATCGAAAAGTATTTGAGCTACCAAATCCAATTTAGCACAGAATTATAGAAAATTTAATGCTCTTTTCAATGATATACGATATGTTTTAGTTTGCTCAAATTTCAATGAAGATATGGGCAATTATTCATGAATTAACAAGTCAGGAATTTTTTTTTTAAATTTAGATCCAAAAAATCTTCCTTTAAAATTGTCATTTTGAAATAATGTTAGATTTTTTTTTTTCGACTAATTTAGACCCGCTCTATCGATTGGAAAAGTTAAAATTACGAAAGTCTGAAAAATGAAAATTTTGAGTTTTTGAATTTTTTTCAAAGGGATTAGGGATTTTTATTTCAAAATTTTCAAATTTAATTTTCTCGGAACCCGTCAGAGATTTTGGATCAATTTTTTTTTGAAATTGTAGCTCCTAATAAGGGCTTCAAAATGGTACTCAGTTGAAGTCGTTGGCATTTACGGTTTTTGAGAAAATCGAGTTTGAAGTTTTTGACTAGATTTTAACTAAAATCCAACTTTGAGGCTCAACTGCTCTAAAAGTATTTGCGTTATCAAACTCAATCTAGCAGTGATTTATAGAGAATTTAATGCTCTTTCCAACCATATATAGTTTATTTTGATTTGCTCAAAATTTAATGGAATTATTGGCAATTGCTCCTTACCTTGTCAGGAATTTAAAAAAAAAATTGATCTGAAAATTGAGATTTTCCTTTTGATTTTTTTTCCCTTTTGAAATCGAGATTTGGAACTGATGTTAGAGTTTTTTTCAACTAATTTAGATCCGCTCTATCGATTGGAAAAGTCAAAATTCAAAAAATCTAAAAAATAAAAATTTCGATTTTTTTAAAGGTATCCTTTAGATTTCAATTTCAAAATTTTCAAACTCAATTTTCTCGAAACCCGTCAAAGATTTTGGATCATTTTTTTGTTGAGATTGTAGCCTTTGATGAGGACTTAAAAATGGTACTTGGTTGAAGTCGTTGGCATTTACGGTTTTTGAAAAAATTTAGTTTGAAGTTTTTGATACTTTTTCGACTAAAATTCAACTTTGAGGTCTAATTGCTCGAAAAGTATTTGAGCTATGAAGCTCAATCTTGCATTGATTTATAGAAAATTTAATGCTCTTTCCAACAATGTATAATTTGTTTTGATTTGCTCAAATTTTAATGGAAATATTGGCAATTGCTCCTGACTTTGTTAGGATTTTTAAAAAAATTAAATCTGAAAGTTGAGATTTTCTTTTTGATTTTTTTCCCTTTTGAAATAGAGATTTGGAAATGATGTAATAGTTTAGACCTGCTCTATCGATTGGAAAAGTCAAAATTCAATAGATATGAACAATAAAAATTTCGAATTTTTCAAAGGGTTACCCTTTAGATTTTTATTTCAAAATATTTGATCTTGGATATCTTAAAATCTATGAAAGATTTTGAATTAAAATTTTCAGGAAATGTAACTCTTGACAAGGGCTATAAAATGGTATTTAGTTAAAATCGCTAGCTCTTATGGTTTTCGAGAAAATCGAGTTTGAAATTTTTGATAAAATTTGGACTAAAACTTAACTTTGAAATCCAATTGCCCAGAAAGTATTCGAGTTATTAGAACCAATTTAACATGGATCTATAGATAATTTAATGCTCTTTCCAACCATATATAATTTGTCTTGATTTGTTCAAATTTCTTTGAAGATATTGGCCATTATTCCTAACCTTGTCAAGATTTGAAAAAATTTCCAGAACAAAAATTGAGATTTTTTAGCTTTTTGAAATCGCCATTTTGAAAGTGATGTTAGAATTTTTTTCGATTAATTTAAACCCGCTGAATCAATTGGAAAAGTCAAAATTTCGAAAATATGAAAAATAAAAATTTCGAGTTTTCGATTGGTTTGACTGAAACCCCCCATAAGCAACGCCACTGGCCAAACAAAATACATGTTGCTAACTTGAAAAATAACCGGCCAATAGCAACAAGAGCCTGGAATAAACAGATAAAGTGTGTTTTTTTTTTTAAAGATAAAAGTCAAACTGACATTATGTTGGCAATACAATGTAAAATTGTCAATGCTTTCAAATTTTTCATGTAGAAAAGGCTTGTGTTGCCAACATAGTTACTAAATTTTTGACTTGGGGAATTATCTTTAAAAAAAAAACGCACTTTACAAATTTATATAAAAATCAAAGGACCTCACACACCACTTATGGGTATTTGGTTTTCTGTCAAACAAATGAAATTTGTATGTTAATGAAGTAAAAGTTTAATACATTACGAGGGATGTTTATAAAGTTATGCCACTGTTAAAAATATTCAAAATTGATGAAATTTCAAAATCACCAGAAATTTTCAAAAAGTTTTTCATAAAATCACCAGATCTGGTGAAATTTCACCAGACCTGGCATTACTGCACGAGGGTTTATACACAGGACATAGGTACCCAAAGACCTGTAAATTGTATTTACATGTTTGATGTTTTATTTGTATTTTTAATCAAAACTTGTACAATAATGTCCAAAAATTAAGTAAAGAGACCGAAAAAGTACATACGTCATGATGACGATAACCATGTTTATTTTTTGTATACGTGGTACTTAAGATAATAATGAGAATAAAAATCTGAATCATCAAAACATCCCAATTCGATTTGGGGAATTGCAATTTACATAAAATCAAATTTGTTTAGTCATGAGATTGGATAATGATATTTTAATTTTGGTCAAACATTTTGATGCTGTCTCAATGGAGCCATTGTTTGAATATTCGATATTGTTCTTCAATATTTATAAGAAGCCCCTGGACCAAAGGGCATGGTCAATCCTACAGTACACAATCTGGAGATTCTACTTCCATAAACTCTTCTCTAACCTTCACTTGGTCCTGGAACCTTCCCATTTTTCAGTATTTGGCATACCTTCTTCAACTACTCTGGATCTTAATGAAAATCTAGTTATTTAACTGGGGTGTTTTGATCAGGAGTGCACTGGGAAAAATGTAATACGGTACACGTTGATTAACTAAAATCCCGAATATTTATTTCAAATACCTACTGTACTAATTGAACAAAACGCAAAAATATAGCAATTAAGATTTCTGAAGTAGAAAATATGTGCTGACAACGCTGACGCTTTTCATGAAAATTCCTTTTACACCTTTTTATTCTCGACTGGTCATGTACCGGTGTCATTGGGTGTTTTCTACCGAGGTAGAGGCCGTAGAGGGTGCTTTGGTGTCTTAATGGTTACAATCTCCCTGTTTGGAGTTTGCTTACGTCCTCGGGGATATTCCAAGTCAATTTTTGATGCCACATAAACAAGTTGAAGCTTCAATGTGGCGTCTGGGTCGTCCATCTAATCTGGGCTCATCGCCATTTTCATTTTTTTCGTCGTTAAAACTCTTATTGTCATCAGCATGCAGTACATCTGTGTTTTTCTGAGGAATGGCCATGTCACCTTCGGGTATATTATCAGTTTCAATAAGGCGTCTTCTCATGGGTCTTCCACGTGGGCGTATAGTTGGTACTAGTGTTGGAACTTCTCCTTTTCCCACATAAGGTGCCATAGCTGACAGATGTAATTTGATGGTGGAACCTTCAGTTGGCTCTATAGGTTTAACTTCAATTGTTGTTGGAGTGACAACCTTAGTAACTTCATATGGACCATCACGTCGTGGAGCAAAATTTGAAGTATAGGCATGGAGTATAGGCATCTTTGGCTTTGCTAATTGAGTGTGTATCCACCATCACTCGATCTCCCTCTTTGTAATGGCGAATAGTTCTTCTCCTTTGGTCAGCATAATGTTTTGATTTATTTTGGGACTTTTCATGGATCTCTCTTGCTTCTCTCAAGGGGTAAGTAACTTGAGGAATGAAATTTTGAATTTCAGTGATAGCTCTCATGTCCCTTTGTACATCTTCGGGTGTGCGGACCTCTTGTCCAAATGTTAAAAAGGCTGGTGTATATCCAGTACTGTCACATCTTCAGGTGTTCATGGTAAAACGCACGGAGGGTAGTTTATTCTTCCATTGAGCGTGACAGCCTCCTACTTGAATTTATAGTTGAATTTTCAAGTCGCGGTTTTTCCGCCATTGCAGGTGTCTGTATTAAACCAGCAGGTTTAAGATTTCTCACTTTATATCTCTGATATTCAATACACATGTTCGGCCACACTTTTTCTCATTCCTGGCCAATAGTATCTGGAACGTATTTGTTGTGTGGTTTTATCAATATACCATAATGACCAGCTAAGGGGTGGTATTCTAGAATTTCAGGAATCATGCTTTTCGGTACCACTAATTGTATTTCTTCTTGGATCCCACTCTCAGGATCATAGCGATACAAGATTCCTTCCGTCATAATGTAACCGCGGTCAGTCCATGTTTTAAATTCCACTGATTCAGTATCCGGTGATTTGAAACAAGAAATTATATCCGGATCTTCTAACTGTTCCCTTCTAATGTCTAATAACTTCATTTACCTCTGTCTGAGACGTTTCTAGTGGTGGCGGGGATAATGTATCAGCCACTACATTTACCTTTCCAGGTGTATATTCAATTCTCATGTTATAAGCCTGTAAAGACAAAGCCCATCGAGCTAATCGACCACTAGGTGATTTTAAAGACATTGACCATTTCAATGGCTAGTGGTCCGCTGGATAATGAATTCAGCTCCATCCAGGTAGTCTCTAAATTTCTTCACAGCCCACATTACTGCTAGAGCTTCTCTTTCTGTAGTATGATAGTTCATCTCAGCAGGGTCCTTATTCTTGGAACATGGGAGCAGCGTTCCCAAGAGAACAGATATTCTGTCATTGTTACTTATGTTATCATTCACATATCATTGTAAAAGACGGAAAACTCGTTCTCCTAGGAAAGCTGCTCTGCTCTTTCAAGAATAAAGACCCAGGTGTGAGTAGTCGGCTTGCATATTCAACAGGTCTTTCATCGGCCTTCTCCCCTTAGAGTTAAACTGCCCCTAAAGCGTATGAACTAGCATCAGTTCGGAGTATATAAGGCAATCTACTATCAGCCTGTCGGAGTATGAGATTAGTAGTCAAAAGTTGTTTCATAAGGTCGAAAAAATCTTGTTCTTTCTTCTCCCATTTCCAAATATCTTTCTTCTTGGTTAAGGAGCTTAAGGGCTTTGAAATTTCTGCAAATGAAGAAATGAATCGCCGGAACCAAAGAACCAAAGCTCTTTCACATTTTTGGGAGGTGGTCTCTCCAGAATAGCGGTGATTTAAGAAGGATCTGGTTGGATTCGTTGGGGTGTAACTACGTGTCCCAAATACTTCACAGAGAAGTACACAAAATGGCATTTGGATCGATTGAGGTAGAGCTTGAAAGCTACAAGTTGGTCAAAAACTCGTTGTAAATCAGAAAGGTGTTCTTGGTAAGTTCTAGATAATACAATCAAATAGTCTATATAAGCTAATATGGTCAAATCTTTGGGTCCGGATTTGAATCGATCAATGAGTCTTTGGAAGGTGGAGGGTGCATTTTTCATTCCAAATGGCATCCTCGTATAACGAAAAATTCCAAATGGGCAAATAAATGCTGTTTTATCTCGACCAGATTCGCGGACAGAGGCTGATTTTAAATCAAGAGTGGTCATATACTTTGTTTGTTTTGCAGTTTGTAATAGATCATCAATCCTAGGAAGTGAGTATTTATCGGCGTCATTAGGTGTTTTCTACCGAGGTAGAGGGTGCTTTGTTGTCTTATTGGTTACAGTTACTCTTGAAGTCGTTGATCTAATTCTTGTTGAAACACCTCATTATTTCGATTAGTATTTATTGTAATATATAATTATTATTGTTTTTATCTAAATTTATCATGCCTAAAGTGCCCTTTTTTCACTATTGTAAAAAAAAAAGACCTTATGTAGGTATTAGTTACATAAATTACTAAGTATTTAGATAGCTTTTTCTGTAGTGAAATGTGAAAACAAAAAAATACCAAAATACCTTGGTATTTTTTTTCTACATATAGCGATAGTGTTTCCAACTACAAACATAAACCCATTAACAAACAGCAAAATACACGTGTTTAATGATATCTAATTGGTTAAAATATTGAATCTGACTTGGTGAATGAAGTTCTTGTTCTAATATTCGATACTTTTCTTATTAGATTTTTTACCATGATAATGAAAATTATCATAGTGACATTATTATCTTTACTAAGTTATGCATATGCAGCCAAATTACTAGGAATATTTCCACATTCGGCCAACAGTCACTATACTTTAGGCGAAAAATTAATGAAGGGATTCGCCAAAGCCGGCCACGATGTAACCATAATTACACCGTATCCAACTAAAAATAAACCAAAAAATGTTGTCTGGAAGGATGTGTTTATAGAAGGATTGGAACAACAGCATAGAGGTACCAAATTCATACAAAAATATGCAATATATGAATATTTACTTTTTAGAAATCTTCAAAAAAACCAATTTGTTTGAGGACAGCAAAAGACCAAGCTGGAAAAGGATGATAAGCTATCAACAAATTATGATCCATTGGGTGAATGTCACCTTATACCATCCTGAAGTAAGGGCTTTAATGAACTCGACAAATATTAAATTTGATGCGGTAATTATGGAGCAATTTTTCAATGATGCCCACAAGTATTTCGCGCATCATTTTCATTGCCCGTTAATTCTATTGTCGAGCCTAGGTGAGAACATAATAATATGTTTGTAATTTAATTCAATTGAAAAAATTTCCAGGCCCAATGCCATGGATAAGTAATATAGTTGGTAATCCGAGCCCTCCCTCCTACATAGGACATTTTTTCAAAAATGGCGATTTTTCCCATGAAAATTTTTTCAGTAGATTTTGGAACCTTTTCGATTACATTAGCGACGATTTGGTTGACAGATTTTATTTCAAACCATTACAAAACCAAATACTGCAGAAGGCTTTTCCTGGGGCACCTTCTATAAAAGAAATTGAAAAACTTACTGCTTTTGTGTTCCTCAATTCACATCCAAGTCTTATAGAAGCAGTACCGTTAGTACCAAATGTAGTAGAAATTGGAGGGTATCATATAGACCCACCTGAACAACTTCCCAAAGATATACAAGAATTTTTAGATAATGCTCAGGATGGAGTAGTATATTTTAGCATGGGAAGTAATCTTAAATCAAGGGATATGTCTATGGAAAGAAGGCAAATGTTTGCTAATGTTTTTGGTAAATTGAAAGAAAAGGTTTTATGGAAATTTGAGGACGAACATGTAGCTGGAATGCCTGATAATGTTTTAACTAAAAGCTGGTTGCCACAAAAAGACATTTTAGGTGGAAACTCAAGTTGCTTCAAAAATAATTTATTAAAAAATTGATTTTTTAGCTCATCCTAACGTCAAACTGTTTATCACACACTCAGGATTTCTCAGCACCATCGAGGCAGTTTACAACGGAGTTCCAGTCCTCGCAATTCCAGTATTCGCCGACCAATTCACCAATGCCAAAAACGCCGTACGTGGAGGCTATGGTTTGAAGCTGCATTTCAACGATGAAAATTTTACAGAAACTCTTTCTGCCCTATTAGAGGAACTATTAGACAATCCAAAATACAAAAAGAATGCTGAAAGAAATTCGCAAATTTTTCACAACAGGCCTCTGAAACCAATGGAAAATGCTGTTTATTGGTTGGAGTTTGTTTTAAGGACTAATGGAGCCCAACATTTGAAAGTTGCCGGAGCTCAATTGCCGCTGTATAAATATTTATTGTTAGATGTATTAGGGTGTATATTGGCTGCGACAGTGATTGTTATATGTCTTATGAGGGCGGCATTTAAGAAAATATTTTTGTTTTGTAATGGTAGTAAAAAGGAGAAAGTGAACTGAATTATAATTTTGGGAATCTTAATAAATTATTTTCTTTAGGAAATAAAAGATACTTATTGCTTCTAAAACATTGAATATTGGAGCGGAAAAAGCCCTCGAGTCTAGGCCTTATCAAGCTGGTTGTCTACCTTCAAGGTAGTTGATAAGGCCTAGATTCGAGGACTTTTGCCGTTTGACTGTTCCCTCCTTAGGACATTTCGTCCCGAAATGCTTCCATGTCGGTACCTGCAGGGATCCCCTTTGCACCAAAACGTTTTATAGAAGAAGCAGTCCTCTGTTTTCTGGTTCTTTCCACGGAAACTGAAGAAAGGAGACACAATGATGTTTGAGCCCAGAATAGACGACACTGAGTTAGGAAGAGGAATTGCATTTGGTAAGACCCCCTTGCATGTGAAAAAAAAATATATACCCGCCAGAGTCATGAACGTCAATCATTACTCTGTGGCGTTAAAGAAAGTAATTGTTCTGTAGCACTGTTCGTCAGTTTCCTCTGTGGTTCGGAGACAGAGGTAACCGCCACTCATGAGTTGAAAAATCTGGTTTCCTCCTGCTCAAAGGGCTTAGATATGAAACAAAGGGGAAAGTTAAAGGACCTACTACGGCAGTTCAGCAATATTTTCGATACTGGTGAAGGGGAAAAGGAAAGAACCAAAGTAATACAACATAAAATCAACACTGGGGATGCACAGCCAATTCGTCAATCGGCAAGAAGACTACCCTTGGCTAAAAGAAAAGAAGCTGAAAGGATAATCCTGAATATGGAAAAAGAAAGAGTTATCGAGCCCTCGAGCAGTCCATGGTCGTCGCCGGTGGTGCTAGTTAAAAAAAAAAGGACGGCTCAACACGATTTTGTATAGATTATCGCCAACTGAACAACGTGACAGAGAAGGATAGTTACCCACTTCCTCGTATTGATGACCCGCTGGATACATTGGCTGAATCAAAGATTGTCTCGACTTTAGATTTGAAAAGCGGCTATTGGCAGGTCGAAATGGCTTCAGAGGATAAGGAAAAGACTGCATTCACTATCGGAACTGGATTATGGCAGTTCACTGTGATGCCATTTGGCTTGTGTAATGCTCCTGCAACATTCGAGAAGCTTATGGAGGTTGTTTTGAAGGGCTTATCTTGGTCAAAGTGCCTAGTGTACATCATAGTGGTCGGAAGATCTTTTGAGGACCACTTAAAGAACTTGAAGGAAGTGCTTCAGAGACTATGCAGTTACGGTTTGAAGCTCAGCCCGAAGAAATGTCGCCTTTTTCCAAAAGAAGTTCGGTACCTAGGTCATGTAGTCTCTGGTCAAGGAGTAGCCGTGGATAATCAGAAGGTGAAGGTAGTGGCCTATTTCTAAAATCCAACGAGAACTTCGAAGTTTCCTTGGCCTTTGTACATAGGCCAATAAAACTCTGCGGGACGAGCGGAGCGAGTCCCGCAGCAATTCATTAATTTTCAGATAGGTACTAGTGTGAAGCATTCACGTTGTCCTGGCAAGGCGAGCCCGCAGGGTCGAGGTAAATCGGTATTTTATAAAAAATACAGAAGTCTATTAAATTTAAAAATAACATTTTCGAATCAGAATAAATTCAAAAGCCGGGAATAGAAACATTATGATTAAATTTGAATACATTTTTTTTAAAATAAAGAAAATTCAAGAGCCGGGAATAGAAATATTATGATTAAATTTTTCATCTAATTAGTGTCACGCATGGATGGATTAGATCTAAAAATGATGACCCGAGGGCTTTCAGCCCGAGTTGGTCTGGTATTTAGCCCCCCCATCAATGGGGGGAATCGAGGGGGGAATTAATTTTCAAAAATTCGCCGAGGCCGAACCGCTGGCTGGTCCGATCGAGTTGAAATTTGGTATGTATATAGTGGAACAGGTACTCTATTGAAAAAAAAAAATACAAGAAACCCGTATCTTGAAACGAGTCTTGAAAGTAAAGTCCCCTGGGGCCGATTTGGACGAAATTTGGAATGTAGGTAGAAGGGGTCTGAAAAAGTTGAAATTTCAAATTTCAGTCCTCCATGACATAGGAAAAGTTTTAGCCCCTAGCCCCCTAATTTTACGCGTTCTGCATTTATTTTCCCGAATTTTGACAAATCAAAATTTTTATCGGATAGAGGAGTAAAAAATACGTCGAAAATGTCTCTAGGCGTTTTTTGCTCCGACGCTTCCTAAGCCCGCAAAAAAATAGAAACTGACATGGCGTTACTTTTTCGCTTATAACTTTGATGATTTTGAACTGATTATCTCGAATCTGGTTTTGTTTGAACCATGAAGCTCCTCCATTAGACCGAAGGGGTCTAAAAGAGTCGATATTCCGAGTTTCAGTTCTCTCCGATGTACCAGAAAAAAGTTAGCCTCCCCATCCTTCTTGATTTTGAATTTTTTTTCCGAATTTCCAAAAGAAAAATATCATCGGATAGAGGAGCAGAAAAAACGTTGAAAAGCTTTTGGGGCCCTGTTTGCTATGACGCATCTTAGGCTGGAAAAAAATTAAAAAAGGATATTTCGATTTTGGCCAGATAAAAATTTCGGCGAACCGACACGACGTTACTTTTTTGTTTACAACTCCGCTTTTTCTCTACCGATCGTTTCGAGACATATCTCTTTTGAAATTACCTACAAAATGTTTTTTTATTGAGATGCCAGGGTTTTTTTGTCTTTGAGATATTACCCGTCAAAGTTGAAATTTTTTGTAATTTTGTTAAAATTTTCGAGGCCGATTTTCTCGAAAACCGTGCCCCGTGAAGGAATATTTCTTATAGGCTTTTTTGTAGTACTCGACGAGATCTATAAGTTTTGTATTTGAAGTTTTTCTCTCGAGCTTCTCGTTTTCGAGTTAGGACGCTTCGAAAATTTAAAAAAAAAAAAATCGAAGGCTTATCCCTATATATTTTTTTATCGAAAAAAATTCAAAATTCGAATTTCGTACTACCGGCGGTACGTACAAGGATTTGCCAGTGTTGCCAAACCACTTACTAGGCTCACGGAAGAGCAAAATCGTTTTCAATGGGACCAAGATTGCCAGGATTCTTTTCAGAAGTTGAAGCAGGCTTTAACCAGAGCACCAATTCTGGGATATCCGCTTGCAAAGGGAAAGTTCATTTTGGATACTGACGCCAGCAATGTGGGACTAGGCACTGTCTCATCTCAGATCCAACAGGGAGAGGAGAAGGTCATAGCTTACTTCAGTAAAACTTTATCAAAATCAGAACGTAACTACTGTGTTACAAGAAGAAAACTCCTAGCAGTAATCATAAGAGTAGAACATTTTTATAAGTATCTTTACGGAAAAAAGTTTTTGCTGAGAACTGACCATGCTGCTTTGAAATGGCTCTTGCAATTTAAGTTAAAAAGTTATAGAGTTACTGCATGTAAACTTGTGATGTGAATATAAAATAGGCAGCCTTCTCTAAGCTCATGAAAAATATCATAAAATATTAATGAAAAATGTAACAAACGATTAAAAGCTCATAAAAAAATATATTTCCTTGTTGACTATTCGTATATTTTTGTCAAATTATACTAGTATAAACCCGCCTTATCAACCAACATTATCAAACCCATACCGAAATTATTAGATAACCCAACATTGATCTATTATAAACTTTGAAGATTGAAAACTACAATTCATCTTTTAATTATAGCAATATTTTTAAAAGATAGTCTATAAGTAATATATTTCAATTTTTCTGTATCACTATCGTTCCTTGTGTTGAAGACTCAAGAACAAGATGAACATTAAATTATCACTTTTGTGTCTCGTGTATTTTTTCAAAGTCTCCAATGGAGCTAGATTATTGGGAATATTCGCAATGCCGGGAAATAGTCACTATATTTTAGCCGAAAGATTGATGAAAGGGTACGCTGCAGCTGGGCATCATGTTACGATGATATCTCCTTATCCAACAAAAAATGTTCCAAAGAATGCTTCATGGGAAGATATTGTTTTGGACGGATTAGATGACGCTTACAGAGGTAAATATCATGCTCATATACTAACCAATACTGTTATTGTTTTCATAGAAAAACTCAAAGAAGTCAACCTATACGAAGACAGCACAAGAAGTAACTGGAATAAAATAGTTTCCTATCAAGAACTAATGATGCACTGGGTTAACACAACGCTTTATCATCCCAAAGTCAGAGCTCTATTGACACCAGAAAATAAATTCGATGTAGTTATCATGGAACAATTTTTGAATGACGCTCATAAATATTTTGCCCATTATTTCCAGTGTCATTTAATTGTATTGTCAAGCATGGGTAAGATTAATACTTATCATGTTATAATACAAGCAAAATTGTTTTTTTTTAAGGTCCAGTTGTATGGGTTAACAATATAGCTGGAAATCCAGTACCTCCATCTTATGTGGAAAGTTTTCTAAGCGGCGGTACATTTTCTGCAAATAAATTCTGGGACAGATTCGTTAATTTTTTCGATTACATCATTGGAAATTTAGTTGAATATTTTTATTTGAAGCCGCTACATAATGATTTGATTCAAAAAGCTTTTCCTGGTGCTCCTTCAGTTGAAGAACTAAATGAACGTATTGCACTAATATTGCTATCGTCTCACACAAGCCTATTGGAGGCAGTACCTTTAGTACCAAACATGGTAGAAATTGGAGGATATTTTATAGATCCACCTAAAAAGTTGCCAAAAGATATACAGCAATTTTTAGATAATGCTCCGGAAGGAGTCATATATTTTAGTATGGGTAGTAATGTTAACTCAAAGGACATGCCCATGGAAAAAAGGCAAATGCTGTTTGATGTTTTTTCAAAAATTAAGCAAAAGGTTTTATGGAAATTCGAAGATGAAAATGCTACTGGAATTCCCGATAATGTTTTGATTAAAAGTTGGATGCCTCAGCAAGATGTTCTAGGTAAGAAATGTATATTATATTTATCACAAATAAATAATAATATGACTAAAAATTTTAGCTCATCCAAATGTAAAACTCTTCATTACCCACGGAGGATTTCTTAGTACAACAGAAACAATTTACCACGGAGTACCGGTACTTGCAATTCCAGTGTTCGGTGATCAATTTATTAATGCCAACAAAGCAGTTCGATACGGCTACGGCCTAATGCTGTCATATCATGACAATCAGAATTTCAATGAAGACACTTTAACTAGACTCCTGCAGGAACTGTTGACCAATCCCATTTACCAAGAAAATGCTAAGAGACGATCCAGAATTTTCCATGACAGACCAATAAAGCCCATGGCGAATGCCGTTTATTGGTTGGAGCATATTTTAAGGCATGACGGGGCTGAACATTTGAAAGTTGTCGGAAGGAAGTTGTCTTTTTATGAGTATTTAATGCTTGATGTTGTTGGTGTGATACTAGTTGGGATAATGCTTATTTTATTTGTCGGAAAACGGATTTGTAATAAAATGTTTGTACATGTTAAACCATTGAAGCAACATAAATTTAAATCAGGCTAGGAAACAAATTATTAGAGGTTTTAGGTGAATTTGATTATTCACTTCATTGTAATGTGATGTTTATGAACATCTGAAGAGTTATGTGAAGTTGCTTGTGAACTCACTAGAAAACTATGAACAAAATAGATTTAAGATGATTTTTTTCATAAACGTATTAATTTTTAATGTATTGTTATTTTTAAAACGCATTTCAATAATTAATAAATTATTTAGAGAAAAGAAACTTTGCTCTTAATCACCCCCCAACGCACTAATGCCTTCCTACTATACAATAATAGTTCTTGTAATAATACTTCTAGTATCATAATTATCGGGTTTTTTTGAGGGGTGAACTCATCGGGTAAACCACTAGTGGAAATCATTAATTTGGGAATCTATAAGGAATACATGGAAATCACTTGGGAGTCCCTGGGAATAAAACAGAGATAGGCATCTACGCGTAAACAAAGATTGTCTACGTCTGGTGTAAACAGCGCGTAGACAATGTAAACTATGTAATCTATGTAGACAACGTGTAAAATATGTAGACAACGCGTAAAGTATACAATTTTTGACAGTTGGCAGGCCTTTAAGGTTATGTTTCTGTTTTTGTTTTGTTTTGTTTTTTGCTTTGTAAAGTTAATTAAACTGCAGATAATGTCTAATTTGATACGATATAAATTTAATGCAATGCAAACTTTCAAAAAAATTACTCAAATTTCAAATTTTCTGTTGTCTACATTGTCTACATAGTTTACATAGTCTACATGGAAAAAAGTGGATGTAAACAATACATAGACAACGAGTAGACAAACCGCGTAAAGTAGATTTCATAGTCTACGGCGCATCCCTGGAATAAATCTACCTTATGATTTAGATTTTGGAAAACTTTGAAAGGTCATCTAGAAGGCCTTTCTCGAATTTTGTCGATTTCTTCAATCAATGCCCCAGAACTTTCTTATTATTAAAGATAATTGATTATGGTAAAATGTTTCATGGGGCACTTTTTAATGTAGAATCCATTGCGATAGACAGTTTCTAGGTATATAGGGTGTTTGGTTTTTTTCTACGACATCATATTCATTTTTTTCATACTTGTATAACCTTATATATTTTGATTTTTTTCCAAAAAGGCGCAAAATTTAAAAATTTTGATGTATCACTTGTATATTTACAAATATATTCCATTTTTTTTTCCGAATATCTCCGGAAGTATTTGAAATTTATCAATTTTCAAAACGGCATTTTATTGGCCATAACTTTGACCCAATTTTACCGACCCTGTATTTCTTACCGTTTCCTGAATCCCAATGATTGATCTCGAATAATAGACACCTTGTATAATATTTAACATAAATATATTAAGTAATATATCAAAATTTAGGAAATTTTACGCTCTTTTCAAAAACCTCAAAATATACTCCTGGACAAATTTATCGCACCACTGCACATAAGCACCACCATAAGTAGTGGTGCGATAATTTTGTCCAGGAGTATATATAGGGTGGTCTGTATGAAAAAAATGAGTTTGAGGTATTATGTATAAAAACTGTCTATCGCAAAAAGTACCCTAAGAAACATTTCACCATAATTAATTATCTTTAATAATAAGAAAATAGGAAAGTTACGGGGCATGAAGAAATCGACAAAACTCGAGAAACACCCTCTGGCGGCCAAACGATTAGACATAGCAGAATTTTGTGAAACCAAAAATACTTAAAATTCACCTGCCTTTGATTGTAAATGTAATTTTAGCTTCGAATGATCGATATCATATTCATAATCCGTAGTCCAAAGGTTAAGGTAAATTTATCTTGTCTTCCAATATTTTTACATTTACCTCGTAAGACTACAGTTTTCGCCATTTCAAACAAAGTTCCTATTTTAATATTATTATAAAAAAATTCTTTTAGATTTATGATAAAAAATGAATGGACAGATGAAATAAACACTTTCGAAAATTTAGTAATTGATACTAATAAAGGGACATACGTGAAGAAAGAGGAATATTCATATAAATCCAATGCAAAATTTGAAAATGAAGAAGGATTGAAAAGACATTTCATCAGACATCTAGATGAATATCCCTATAAATGTGACACTTGTAAAGCAAAATTTAAATTGTTTATTCATTAGAATAAACATTTAAAGACGCACTCGGATGATCATTCTTTCGAATGTGATACTTGTAATGCGAAATTCAAATGGATCGGCGACATGTAAAAACTCATTCGGATGTTTATCCTTTCAGATGTGACACTTGTGATGCGAAATTTAAACGAAAATGGAATTTAAAATTCCATTTAAAGACGCATTCGGATGATCATCCTTTCGAATGTGATACTTGTAATGCGAAATTTGAACTGCTCGGCAACTTAAAGCAACATCTAAAAACTCATTCGGATGTTTATCCTTTCAAATGTGACACTTGTACGAAAAGGCAGTTTAAAACTCCATTTAAAGACGCATTCGGATGATCATCCTATCGAATGTAATACTTGTAATTCGAAATTTAAACTGAAAGGCAATTTGAAGGAACATCTAAAAACTCACTCGGATGTTCATGCTTTCCGATGTGACACTTGTAATGCAAAATTTAAACGGAGCAGCGATTTGAACAAACATGTAAAGACGCACTTGGATGATTATGCTTTTGAATGTAACACTTGTAATAGGAAATTTAAACTAATCGGCACTTTGACCAGCCATTTAAAGTCACACACGGAAAATTACCCCTTCCAATGTTGCATTTGTATAAAGAAATTTAAATATAAAATTAGTTTGAAACTACATCTAACGAGACATCCGGTTCATTGGAGCAAACAGCACTTGGAAGATCAGTCTTTCGAATGTGATTCTTGTAATGCGAAATTTAAATGGATCGGCGAGTTGAAGCAACATGTAAAAACTCATTCGGATGCTCGTTCGGATGTTTATCCTTTCAAATGTGACACTTGTAATGCAAAATTTAACTAAGCATCCGAGGGACAAATCGCTGGTCAACATTGAACCTACAGGAGATTCCAAAAAAATCCAATAAATTCCAAAAAACTTCAAAAATAAAATGCAAGTTGTGTGTTGCTAGCATTCCAGTAGTAGGTATCTAATATAAAGTATGTAGGTACCTATATTAAACTATGAAGGATATTGGTCATAATTTTTTTTCTATTAGAGATAGAGAGCTGAAATTTTCAGCGATTCTTATCCCAGTAGTCATATTAATGCGAAGCTTAACAATTAGACATCGTTTTCGTAATAAAATCAGCTGGAAATGATGTAGGAAATCATCGAGGAAATCAGGTAGGCAATTGGGAATGATATAGGAATCCCCAGAAAAAATGGAAATCTCCTGGCGAGAGGCTTTTCACCCAAGGAAATCCGTGTACAAATTCCTGGAAATACTTGGAAATAGCTAGAAATATTTGGAAATACCTAGAAATACTTTGGAAATACCTAGAAATACTTGGTAATACCTTGGGGAATACCTAGAAATACTTTGAAATACTTGGTAATACGTGCCGAATGATGTGAGAAAACAGTATGTTTATGAGCTTCCTGAGCGCTGCCTTTTCTCATAGATTACTTTTTTTTTACCTTTTAGTAATTTCCTGCCAAAATTATCTTCTCTGTCTCTCTCTCTTACACATTTAGTTCTTAAGGCAAGTGCCAATAATATAAATTTTTCGAATAAGTGCAATACGTTATTGGTTTTGGGACATCAGAAGCTCATAAAATCTAAAATAAAAAATAAGGGCCCTTATTTAAAAAAGTAAAGTTGATGATGGTGGCCCAAAGACGAAACGTCAGATTTTGAATTTGATGGTGACATCTTGTGGAGGAGAGAAAGTGGCAATGATGAAGTGACATTTATTATTTATTTTGGGATAACTCTTCAAATAAGCTCAGAAAAAAATAAAAACGCTTTTGTAAAATTTCGGATTATTCCCAATATTTCCAAAACTATTCGGAATTTTTAAATTTTCAAAACGGTATTTTGTGAAGCATAAAATTGCGAAATTTTGCAATAATTTAACCGACCCTGTATCTCTTACCGTTTCCAATATTATAATGATACTGCTTGAATTTGAGACACCCTGTATATATTTCAAGTGCTATTTTTATCTTATTTATGTTTGCAAAAAAATTTCCTTGTTGTGTAGAAAATTGTTGTGACATCAACAGGGTCCTTATTGTTGAAACAGGGGAGCAGCGTTCCCAGGAGAACGAGCTTTCTGTCTTTGTGACTTATATTATCATTTGCATATCGTTGAGAAAGACGGAACACCCGTTCTCCAGTAGGCTTATTCTTGAAACAGGGGAGCAGCATTCATACGAGAACAAAGGTGCTGTCTTAGTCGCACTTATTTATATTTCCATAACACTGACAAAGACAAAGCAATCATTCTCGTGAGATCGCCGCCCCCCGGTTTCAAGAATAGGCCCACTGGGAATGCTGCTCTCCAGTTTCAAGAATAAGGACCCAGGCGTGCATGCGCAAAGCAGTTATAGATAAATCTATAGGAGAGTTTTGCTCCGCGAAATAATAAGAGATGACACTGTTGAAAAAATCACATTCCATCATGTGATCTTTCGTTTGAAGTTATTAAACTGGTCCAAGAACAGATTTCCCTTGTAAAAACTAGATTTATTTGTAATATATTATGCAGTCAAAAAATAGTATATTATTCAACGAGCGGGAAATAATGGCTATTAATCACGAAGGATGAAGTTTGCACTACGAGCCGCAGGCGAGTAGTGTAATCATCTGAGTGAGTAATAGCCATTACCCACGAGTAGAATACTATACTTTTTCTAAGATTAATAGATAATAGGCACGAGTTATGCGGTTCTTTATTTAATTTTCATAACAAAATTAATTGACAATTCTGACAGCTGGAAGACAAAGTGAGGTTAGGTTAGCACAAGTCTTGTTTAAATCAGCTGTCAAAATGACCGATTGGAAGGTTGAAGTATGTTATCAATTTGTCGAATTTTCTGATTGGCTCTTAAATAATGGAGTAATGAGACCAGGATATTTTCATTGGTTGAAAACAATTGAGTAATGAAAAAAAACTCACTGTATAAGTAATCATTCACATTGATCAATATCCTATTACTCACGAAGGATGAAGTTTGCTCTACGAGCCGCAGGCGAGTAGTGTAATCATCCGAGTGAGTAATTGCCATTACCCATGAGTAGAATACCCTATCAAATAGCATTGAAAGGTGATAAATTTTACCTGTACCTGTGGACATCGGATTGTGAATAGGATATAGTAGGTATTCTACTCGTGGGTGATGGCAATTACTCACTCGGATGATTACACGACTCGCCTGCGGCTCGTAGTTCAAACTTCATCCTTCGTGGGTAATAACCATCATTTCCCGCTCGTTGAATGATATACTATTTTCTATGAGTATTAAATAATATGCGTAATATACATCCATTTTCTATTGATCAATGTGAATGATTACTTATACAGTGAGTTTTTTTTCATTACTCAATTGTTTTCAACCAATGAAAATATCCTGGTCTCATTACTCCACTATTTAAGAGGCAATCATAAAATTCGACAAATTGACAACATACTTCATCCTTCCAATCGGTCATTTTGACAGCTAATTTAAACAAGACTTGTGCTAACCTAACCTCACTTTGTCTTCCAGCTGTCAGAATTGTCAATTAATTTTGTTATGAAAATTAAATAAAGAACCGCATAACTCGTGCCTATTATCTATTAATCATAGAAAAAGTATAGTATTCTACTCGTGGGTAATGGCAATTACTCACTCGGATGATTACACTACTCGCCTGCGGCTCGTAGTGCAAACTTCATCCTTCGTGAGTAATAGCCATCATTACCCGCTTGTTGAATAATATACTATTTTCTATGATTAATAGATAATAGACACGAGTCATGCGGTTTTGTATTTAATTTTCGTAACAAAATTAATTGACAATTCTGACAGCTGGTGGACAAAGTGAGGTTAGGTTAGCACAAGTCTTCTCCAAATCAGCTGTCAAAATGACCGATTGGAAGGTTGAAGCATGTTGTCAACTTGTCGAATTTTCTGATTGGCTCTTAAATGGCTCTTGAATAGTGGAGTAATGGGACGAGGATCATTTTCACTGGTTGAAAACAATAAGGTAATAAAAAAAAACTGTATGAGTTCATCCACATTGATCAATAGAAAATGGATGTATATTATGCATATTATTCAATACTCATAGAAAAAATTGTTTTGTTGTTTGTAAAAAGTGTCCCTGAAATTTGAAACCTTTTATGAGTTTATTGACCCCATGCAGAATTTTTCTTTTTTGGTAAAATACCAAAAATGTTCTTTGCTATTCACCAGCTTTAGAAAAGTTGCATGCGTAAAACGCTCGGTAAAACGTCACTTTCCCGCACGCATTTTAATTCGGAAACTATCTTTCTCCCACACGGCGTGCGATAGAAAAATACTTGGAAGTACTTGGAAATCCTTGGAAATATTTAGAAATACTCGAAAATACATGGAAATACCGTGAATATTAAGAAAAATGGAAATCGGTGTACAAATTTTGGTAGGTGAAAAGTCCCTCGTCTCCTGGTAATCATACAAAAATATCTGAATATCATTGGAAATCAGTCGCAATCCTTAGGATGGGAATACCTACATGAAATTCATTGATCAGTGATTGCCAATTATGGAAATCATTGTACATTTGTAAGCATAGTGGTTGACCTCTCGGATTTTTTCATGTTAATATGATATATATATGTGGAATGGCCAATTTCTATATTATAATGGCATAAATAATGTATGAATGAAGTGATTAGGTTCGTCTTCTTAAAAACTTCAATGTGATTCCGATGTTGATGACACTTTTGTCTAATGGAACATGGAAAAGACTGGATCCTGGATGAGTTCTCAGACCGCACTTTAATGCACACTATAATAACATAGTTACACATCTTATTGAAATTTTTTACGATTTCTCAAAGACATTACCTTCTAATAAGCAGTGTCACGGTCTATTTTATTGTTAACTTTTCCCATATTTTTAGGCAAATCATACCCTACATTGCATGAAATCCGATCTATCAACCGTGTACCGCAATTATTAAATTACGTACCACAATTATTATTATATAACCAATTTGAAGATAAATAACTACAATTTATGTCCTAATTATATCAGTATCTAAAAGTGGATAATCCGCTATAGCACTTATACACCTATTCTGATTTGTAAATAGAATAGTATCATAAATATTTATTGTTCTCGATATTCAAGACCAAAATGAAGATAAGTTTATTAATATTATTGTGTCTTATGTATTTTTTCAAATTTTCCAATGGAGCTAGATTATTAGGAATATTTGCAATGCCAGGAAATAGTCACTATATTTTAGCTGAAAAATTAATGAAAGGTTTTGCTGCAGCTGGACATAATGTAACGATGATATCTCCTTATCCAACAAAAGGAGTTCCAAAGAATGCTTCATGGGAAGATGTTGTTTTAGAAGGCTTAGATGAAGTTTACAGAGGTAATTATGCCCGTATACTAATTGAGAAAATAACATTATTTTGACCATCAATAAAATAGAAAAGCTCAAAGAAATCAACTTATACGAAGACAGCACAAGAAGTAGCTGGAAAAGAATAATTTCCTATCAAAAACTAATGTTGCACTGGGTTAACGCCACTCTCTATCATCCTAAGGTTAGAGCTTTATTGACCCCAGAAAACAAATTCGATGCTGTTATCATGGAACAATTTTTAAATGATGCCCATAAATATTTTGCACATTATTTCCAGTGTCATTTAATTTTAATGTCTAGCATGGGTAAGAATAATACTTATGTTTACCTATTTGGAAAACAAAATTGTTCATTTCAAGGTCCAGTATCATGGGTTAACAACATAGCAACAAACCCATTACCTCCATCATATGTGGCACATTTTTTTAACAACGGTGAATTTTCTGCAAATAAATTCTGGCACAGATTCTTTAATCTTTTCGACTACATTTCTGACAATCTAGTTGAGTATTTTTATTTGAGGCCCCTACAAAATGATTTGCTTCAAAAAGCTTTTCCTGGGGCCCCTACAGTTGAAGAACTAAACGAACGTACTGCACTGATATTTTTATCGTCTCATATGAGCTTATTAGAGGCAGTACCTTTGGTACCAAGCATGGTAGAAATTGGAGGCTATTTTATAGATCCACCTAAAAAGTTGCCGAAGGATTTGCAACAATTTTTAGATAATGCTACAGAAGGTGTTATATATTTTAGCATGGGTAGCAATATTAAATCAAGAGACATGCCCATGGAAAAAAGGCAAATGTTATTCAATGTTTTTACAAAGTTGAAGCAAAAAGTTTTGTGGAAATTTGAGGATGAAAATGTTACTGGAATGCCCGATAATGCTTTAGTTAAAAGTTGGATGCCTCAACAAGATATTTTAGGTAAAAAATGTATAAAGAAGTAATGTAAAAAAGAAGTTTATTCCGGGCTATAATGCCGTGGTCCATTAATATTTCTACCTAACGTTTCGTCTACTGCTGCGGTAGAGATCTTCAGAGACGGTGTGGAAGAGGAGGATGAAGTGTTCTCTTCCGTGTTCCTCCGATGACTGGATTCGTTTTTTCTTTTTTTTTGTCGTGTCTAAATGGCTTAGATTTTTGTAAGTAATTAGTACTTTATGTTCCCATATTTTTGGTAGTACGTATTCTGGAGTCCCAGGTCCTGATAAAGTGATTTGTGATCCCTGGATGTCTGGATCTTCTTTGTGGGGGGTTTTCCGTGACTCCCCTGTTAATTGTAAGGATGGCCTTTAGCGGAGGGCGTTCAGTTGTCTTTGCAGGTCTTCTAGCTGCTGAATAATCTCTTCAATTGATGGCTGAAGTGGTTTGCTTGGTTTCAGCGGCTGTTACCCCAGCGGAACGTCGTTCTGGAAGCGGTTTTGGAACTGGCTTTCCTGAGGTGCTTGGGGTGTTTCTTGCATCCCTGGTAGGAAGCTGGGTGGGGACCAGCGCAGTTAGCACAGGTGGTTTTGGTACATGCTGTGAACGGGTGGTCGCCTGCACATTTGACACATTTGTGAGGGGCTTTGCATCTCGTCTGAGAGTGTCCATGTAATTGGCAGCGGTGGCATTGTGTGGAGCGCTGGTTAGTCTTTTGCGTTTCCCCTCTGACTTTTACGTGGTTGATTGTCTTCACTTGGTAGATACTGGTTTCAGCTATCGGTACTATCACTAGTACTAGAGGCACTGGCTCGCCCTTGGCATTGTACCATCGGATCATGGCCTATGGGTGGAACTTCATCTTTTCTAGTTTGGTTTTAACGAAGTCGGTCGTCCATTGTTCGAGGGGTCCTCGGATCACGACCCTTAGTTTCTTCTCCTCCCGGAAGGAGAAGGTGTGGAAGGGTTCTTGAGTCTCTTCTAGGTAGGATTGTATCTTCCTGTAGTCATCACTTGACTTTGGATAAATTTTGATGGTATTTGTAGTAGGTCCAAAATCAATTTTCTGTATCTTACGTTGATCTACGATGTCGTTGTACCTAGATTTATTCCTATGTGCAGAAAAAGGTAGAATATGTTATTGTTACCAAGGCCAGGCCTATCAAGCAATGTTGGTACCGAGTTTCTCCCATAATGCAGCAACACATCGATAGGGAATTGGATGAGATGTTGAAGCTTGGGGTTGTGGAGCCGTCGAAAAGCCCGTGGACATCACCAGTCGTGATGCTTAAAAAAAGGATGGTTCGCTCCGCCTTTGTGTGGCCTACAGGAAAATTGATGCTGCGTGTTATCCGCTCCCTTAGGTTACTGACACCTTCGATAAACTCTCTCAGAGCATAGTTCCACTATGGACATTAAGTCAGCGTACTGGCAGGTACCAGTCGCTGAGTCTTCTCGTCCCTACACCGCTTTTGCAATCCCAAATCGTGGTCTGTTTCAATTTAAAATACTCCCATTCGGGTTAAATAATGCCCCTGCCACTTGGCAAAGACTCAATGATAATGTCCTTGGAGTTGATCTTGAGGCATATGTTTTCGTGTATCTAGATGATATAGTGGTGGATATGCCCGATTTTGAAATGCACTTGAAGGTCCTGGAGGAGGGGTTTCGTAGGCTACGTCAGGCCAATCTCACTGTGGGTCGAGCAAAGTGTCAATTCAGTAAGCCTAGCCTTAAGTATCTTGGTTATGTAGTCGATAGCCAAGGTTTATACGTCGACCCCGATGGGGTTAAAGCCATATTGGACTTTCTGTTCCTACTAGTGTCACTGAGGTTAGGAGGATTGTAGGTACTTTTTCGTGGTACCGCAGATTCATCAAAGACTTCTTGACTGTTATCGCTTCCATTACTGGTTTGTTAAGAAAGAATCGTAAGTTTGACTGGACTGTGATTAAAGCCTGGTGGCGGGCGTAGGTCGAAACTTCTCGTGGGAGCACTGGGTCCAACAGTATTTGTTTAGGCTGTGTGCACTATCACTGAGGCGGATTTCTTGTGGGCTGGCTCTCCGCTGTTATTGTCGCCGTCAGAGGAATTCTTCCTGCGCCGTCGGGATTTGACGGGCTGGAAGTCGTCAATGTCGGACTTTGATTCACCTGTTGCGGGGTCTTCGTCGAAGCTGGCATTTGTTTCCATTGTTTGTTGGGCATCAATGGCGGCAGACTTTAGCTACTCGTTTTTTTTTCCGCAGCTTTTTGACTGTATTTCGTGATCTCCTTTTTCCAATCTTCTGTTATTCGGTGGTCCATCTTGAAAAACATATCTTCGGCGACTGTCACTAACGAATTAACTTTTGACGGCTCAATTTGGCTTTGAGAAATGGACTAGTCCATTCCCTTCGGCGCAAAAAGACTGACTTGGTTAGAATTGAGATCTCTCTTCGCTTGGCTGCCGCGTTGCCAGCTCTCTTCTTTCTGATTTTCCAATCTTCTTTAATTTCTAATATGGCATCTGGCATTTACACTGTTCGATATTCACTTTTCAACCATCTCAACAAGCCTCTAGCTCCACGTTGGGCGCCAAAATGAAACGATTCTTTCTATCCTGGATCTTAGGTAAGATCCGTCACACAGGCGGGGTTCTTGGCTGCTGCAGAATAGGACTTTCATAACGGAAATACACTTTCGGAATTTTATTATTCAGATTAACTAACAACCAGAAGTTATTTGGTAGGTAGTAGAGTGATGTCACTGATCTTTTTGATGGAATGAGTTGAGTCTTTAACAGACAGACAGAAAGACACAACGTTAAGCCTATCTACATGCCCACAAGAACAATTCAGCAAAGTCTAAGATCGGCCAAGGATCCTAGGGCATGTCTTGTAACGGCTGGCGTCTATAGAATTCCCTGCTCTTGTGGATCTGTCTATGTAGGAACAATCAAATGCTGTTGATAGACACCAGGGTCAAAGAGCACAAAAGAAACTGTCAGCAGGGACAAATAGATAGATAAACAATCGCATAACACGTGCTTACACAAACAAACCATGTCATTCGTTTCGACCAGACTCAAGCATTGGATAGAACCAAACATTTCAACACCAGACTCCACAGAGAAGCCATATAGATACAGAAACACCACAACAATTTCAACAGAAAAGTCATCGAGGGAACACGGAAGAGAACACTTCGTCCTCTACCACACCGCCTCTGAAGATGTCTACCGCAACAATAGACGAAACCTTAGGTAGAAATACTAATGGACCACGGCATTATAGCCCGGAAAAAACTTCTTTTTTGCTAAAAAATGTATATTTGTCACAAATAAATATGACTAAAAATTTTAGCTCATCCAAATGTAAAACTCTTCATTACCCACGGAGGATTTCTCAGTACTACTGAAACAATTTATCACGGAGTACCAGTACTTGCAATTCCAGTGTTCGCTGATCAATTCATGAACGCCAAAAAAGCTGTTCAATACGGTTACGGCCTCATGCTGCCATATCATGACAATCAAAACTTTAATGAAGAAACTTTGATTAGGCTTCTTCAAGAACTGTTGAATAATCCCATTTACCAAGAAAATGCTAAAAGACGATCAAGAATTTTCCATGACAGGCCAATAAAGCCCATGGCGAATGCCGTTTACTGGTTGGAGTATGTTTTAAAACATGACGGGGCTGAACATTTGAAAGTTGCTGGAAGGAAATTGCCTTTTTATCAGTATTTGATACTGGATGTTGTTGGTGTGATACTAGTTGTGATAATGCTTATTTTATTTGTTGGAAAAGTTATACTTTTCAATAAAATGTTCTCAGATATTAAGCCACCCAAGGAGATTAATAAATTAAAATTAGGTTAACAATATTGCTTCAATTTTGTTTGCCTATATTGTAAAGTGCCGTTTTTTTGTAATAATTAATAGATACCTAAACGTACAGTTGTTTTTGAACTAAATGGAAAAATATAGATAAAAATTACGCTTACAGTGAGAGTGGTAACATTTCAAATGATAATAAATTATTGCAAAAAAAAACCTCAACCCACTAATTATTGTGATAAAACTTTCAGTTTCGTAGTTAGTTGACAAAAGCCATTAAAGATGGTTGTAGTACTACAAATCCTCTTTATATGTTCCCTATCATCATGGCAATATTCAAATGGAGCTAAAATATTAGGAATATTTAGTTTGCCTGCAAGAAGTCATTATTCTTTAGCGGAAAAACTAATGAAGGGATTTGCCAGAGTTGGTCACGATATAACCATGGTCGCACCATATCCAACAGAAAATCTACCAAAAAACGTAACTTGGGAAGATATAATAGTAGAAGGCGTAGTTGAAAAGCACAAAGGTAATGGTTTTTATTAAACTAAACTAAATTACTTAATTTTTTTTTTTTAGCCAACATGGTAGGATTAATGCTTAAAGACTCACATAGAAGTGCAATGGAGAAATTAATCATATATCAACATACAGTGCTGAATCATGTTAATCAGACATTATTTAGTTTCAAGGTCAAAGCCCTCTTGAGCCCCACAAATAAATTTGATATCGTAATTATTGCAATGCTGTATAATGAAGCTCACAAGTATTATGCGCATTATTTCGAATGTCCGCTTATTGTTTTAGGAAGCATGGGTAAAAAGTTAACATATTTTCAAATTATTTAAGTAATTTTTTTTTTGTGTAGGTGCAACACCTTTTCTGAACAATATAGTCTCAAACCCATCTCCACCATCTTACGTTCAATATTATTTAGGTGCTGAAGATTTTAGTTTTGATAATTTTTGGCATAGATTTTCAAATTTTTTCGATTACATTTTTGATTTTCTTGTGGATTATTTTTACATTAGGCCAGTGCAAAATAAGTTGCTTCAACGAGCATTTCCTGGAGCTCCTCCAGTTGATGAAATTCCTACTTCGCTGGTGTTTATTAATTCACACGAAAGCTTTATGGAACCAGTACCGTTAGTACCCAATATGATACCGATTGGAGGCTACCATGTTGAGCAACCTAAACAATTACCAAAAGACTTGAAACAGTTCTTAGACGGTGCCACAAATGGGGCAATATATTTCAGTATGGGTAGTAATTTGAATGTTAACCAGATGGAGAAAAAACAGATTTTCTTTAATGTATTTGGGAAGTTAAAAGAAATAAGGGTCTTATGCAAATATGCAGATGAAAATTTCTCAAACATGTCTAGAAATGTTTTAGTAAAAAGTTGGATGCCACAAAATGATATTTTGGGTAAGAACTATGCAAATCATGAAATGTAAACTACAAGTTCATTTCCAGCTCATCCTAACATAAAACTATTTATAACCCACGGAGGACAGTTGAGTACCATAGAATCCGTTTACCATGCAGTACCAATCCTTGCCATTCCAGTATTTGGTGATCAATTCAGAAACGCAAAAAGAGCTGCTAAATTAGGTTTTGGTCTTGAAATTGGCTACAATAACGAAAGATTTAATGAAGAAACTTTGTTGAATTATATAGAAGAATTGCTGGCAAACCCAAAATATAAGGAAAATGCAAAAGAGAGATCAGCAATTTTTCACGATAGGCCGTTGAAGCCAATGGAAAATGCTGTGTTTTGGCTAGAACATGTTTTGAGGCACAAGGGTGCCGATCATTTGAAAGTTAGCGGAATTGATTTGCCTCTTTATAAGTATTTGATGTTAGATGTTGTTGGAAGCTTGATTTTGTTGATTTTGGTATTTTTATACAGCGTTAGACTTGTTTTTGAAATGGTTATGAGGTTATTTACGTGTAGTAGAAAAAAAGAAAAAGAAAATTAAGAGGAAAACTTTGCTCTGTCTGGAGACTCATGTAAAACATATACCTAATCTCAATAGAAATGTAAATCAAAATTTGAATTTATAGAGTAGCTCAGTTACCTAATGCAAAACATTATTCTACATTTTTTGTAAACTAAATGGAAAATTCTCGGGAAAATTAGAAAAAAAAAGAGGCTTTCATTTTACTTTAAGTAAATAACTATGTAAAGTACAATAGGTATTAGTGATTCATTTTTGTAACTTTTCAAACGACAATAAATTATCATGGGAAAAACTGTACCTGAATCCTTGGCAATCCGGTGCAACTATGAACGACTAAAGTTTATTATTTTAGGGATTTTTTATTGATGTGAACTTGGTACTGGAAGGCATAGGCAGTACCAATATACACCGTTTAGAGTAGGTACCTGAAAAGACTTGCATATTACTTTGGAGGTGATTTAAGGGGTTAAAACTAATAATTGCGATTCATCGAAAAAAGGGTTTTTATGAAAATGTGGACCTTTCCACCCTAGTCTCGGGTACAAATGGTACTAGAAGTTATGGACAGTACCAATATAGACCGTTTCGGGAACCTAATGCTCCTTTTCATGTATCAACTTGAAAGAAAATTCCTGATTTTGCTTATGGGCGCAAGATCCACTCCTGATTCATCTCACCTTATGAAAGAGTCTCTATTTTATAGATCCTGTAAGTTTCAAATCGCTGAGATGATGAATGGAAATATTTGTCAAAGATTATTATAGGGATTTTTTTAGTGTTTTTCATGTATCAACTTGAAAATAAATTCCTAATTTTGCTTCTGGGCTCAAGCTCCACTTCTGGTTTATTTCACTTGTTACGGTAACTGTTAGAGATAAACCTTTCAAACTTTATCATTGAAATTAGCAAAAACAGGTCATTGGCAAAAACGGAGCTATTTGAGTAATATTTAAAATATTATAGGGTGTCCTATTAAAAATAATCGGACTGGTCAATCTCGACTAGAAAGTTTTTACGGAAATCAATTATATTTATAAATCGAAAAGTCTGTGGAAAAGTTATGAAGCCTGCGGGAGCGCCACGCACTAGATTTGTACCCATACTGGAAAGCTTGATTACTGGAAAGGTGTTCTAATTTGGACACTTTACTTTCTGAGCGAGACATAAGAAAATGAACCCCTCACTCTTGGGTTCAAATTTCATGAAATTTTGATTGGTGCCATTGACCAAGAACACTTTAACCTAATAGGACTGCTTATTATTAGGCTGAAAGTGTCTGGCATGTCATCCACAGACCTCAGCTCTTGGCGCCAAATGCATTATCCGAGTTTAAAACATTAAAATCACCTTTTCTTCATTTAAAATCGACGAAAAAATTAACTAAATCGCAAACAATCCATCGAGGTCTGCAGGTGACGTCACCACTATCTGTTTCCAGTGATTTTCTCAGTTTTCTTCTGTTTAGCCCCGATGTCGATATTGACCAGTCCGATTATTTTTATTAGAACACCCTATAGTATATTAATTATTACTCATTTAATAGCTCTATTGTGTGCTTGGTACTGCCTATAACATCCAGTCCCATTTGTACCCGAGACTAGGGAGTAAATGTCCATATTTTCACAAAAACCCCTTTTTCGATAAATCGCAATTATTAGTTTTATTTCCTTAAATCACCCTCAAAGTTATTTGCAAGTCTTTTTAGGCACCCTAAATGGTGTATCTTGGTACTGCCTATGTGCTGCCTATAACATCCAGTCCATTTATTTGTACCCGAGACTGGGGTAGAAAATAGAAATGTCCATACTTACACAAAAACCCTTTTTTCGATGAATCGCAATTGTTAGTTTTACCCCCCTAAACTAACCTCAAAGTTATATCTAAGTCTTTTTAGGTACTCTTAACGGTGTATATTGGTACTGCCTATACCTGGTGGACCAAATTATAATAGTCTTGTGAGAAAAAGAACCATCGCAGGTATACTCATACATAGGTATTTAAAGTTTCAGTTATAAAATAAAATAAAATAAAAAAAACTAATGGAATTTATGGAACGCCACTACTTTCTTCAGATGAAGAGTGCACTCCAAGTGATGACGTCAGAACACTCTGACAAACAACTACTCTACCTTCTCACTCCATTTCTAAACGTACTCCATTTTACGCCAGCGTATCGGCGTTCAGCGATCTGATTGGTTTGTTGCGCTGTCAAATTTACGTGAGGGTACGCCGAAAAGTTGGTACCAGTGCAAGGTTGTTTGAGAGGTATAGGTTGCCTTATAGCTTTTATAACGTCATCTGTATGCCTAAACATAATGCAAATATCCATGAGGCATCCCAGATGCGTCATCAAGTTACCCATTACCGGCATTACCACAACCTCTGGTACCGGTTCAACTTTTTCGCGTAATGTTGACGTAAGCGAGACTTTTTGTTGTTTTTGACAGTTTTGTGATGATAAATAATAGGTAGTTTTTTTCACGTGGATCCGGTTGAAACTAACCGGGCTACAAAACGGTTAGTAGCGGTATGTCAAGTGATGACGTTATTGAAAATGCCACTTGACAACGAACGGTTAGAAAATAGTACATTTTATACCTAGATAGAGAAGTTGCGGTCATTATATACCGAGTGCTTTTATATATATAATGCGTGAGGTATATAATGACATTCTCTACCGAGGAATATGCAGGAATATATCAGGAATATATCAAAAGGAATATACAGAAATATATCAAAACTGGTTTAAGTAATGTCACTATGACGTCATAAATTCTCGGCGTGAAAAAATGGTTTGAAAACGTGGATTGGATTGTATTTCGAAACGGTTTGAACCAGTTTTGACGTGACGTCATGAGTTTATCGCGAGAATGTACTGTTTCAATACAGTTTTGAACTAGTTTCAAAATAGTGGACGCGAGAAAACGCCCCTGGTAAATATTTATAATAGGTTGATTTACCCAACTTAATAGAGAATTATGGCACCTTCAAATAGCGACAGTCACTAATATAAACGTTCTTATTTTGACACTATTAACACCTAACGCATGCGTATTTGTGCCTAAAAATAGTGGTGATCAGTAATAAAATAGGGATCATCCTTATTTGTGATTAGAGAGTTATTGGAACTATTGAATATTGCCTGGAAGTATTAAGGATTTACGTTATTTTATTAGTGCAATAGCACTATTTCTTCAAGAAAATAACAGTTATTGGAAGACTGTAGTAGGTGTCAAGTATTACCTTATTTTGTATTCATAATTTTGACAGCTGATAGCTATGTTTATAAATTTCAACCTCAAAAAGTGCAAATTTTTGTTTATGAATTTCTGCTGATACCCATTTTTCGATGATATCCACAGTAAAATGAAAAACTATTGTAAAAAACAAATTCTCCAAGTAAAATTCCATCATCGTCGAAAAGCGAAACGTCAAAGTCGTCCAAAATGTCAAAAATATTGAAATAAGAGAAGTTTACTACCTCGCACTATCCATACACAAATAAAGACAAGCAGTAACCTTACCAAGGGAATCCTTATTTTCAGATCCAAATGCGCATGCGTAGATGTTAAAATAAGGCTAATTTAAATACTGCTTGTCCTTATTGCACGTCCAATAACTCTCTATTGTATAGTGAAAGGCAGTATTTATTCCACTATTTTTTGAGGTATGCGCAAATCTGAATCAAATGACAGTTGTTTCAGATTCTAACCTCACATAATTTATTCATTTTAATAATATTTTTCGTACAACTGCCTCGGAAAATGGAGTTTTTCGCACGCTAGGTAACCTCTGAAAATAGAGTAGAGAAATAGTTTTTCACATGCTGCTAATTATTTTTTTTAATTTTATGGTCCTGTCATCCTGACATGACAACATAAATTGCGATTGTCACCAATTTCTGATGTTGATGATTTGTTTTCTAACAAATAAAAATTATATAAGTATTTGGTTGTTTATTCGCGAGAAACTCATGACGTCATATTGAATGTTGTTCGCCGGAAGCAGGGACACAACTTCTTGCCAGCGTTCAATCTCATGACGTCACAAGATGAACTATGGTTCGAACTCGCGTTTGACAGCGTCTTGACAGCGACAATTTCGCAATTCTCTGCGGTCGCAAGTTACAGAATAAAGCCTAGTACTCATAACTGTGAAATTCGCTCTTTTTAGACTTTGCTTCAACAATTTGACGTTTGCTTCACACAGAAAACGTCAAATTGTCGAAGCAATGTCAAAAAAGAGCGAATTTCGCTGTTATGAGTACTAGGCTCTAACGGCTGTTGGGGTGCTCTAGAGCGCGCCAATGTGCATACTGGAAAGCAACTCAGGTAGTGGCCAATTATTGCCGATTTCGCTTTAACACTATTTGCACTAACCGCATAAAAAACGCTTCAGTGCAGAAAAGTTTAAATTGGTGTGTATAGTGGAGGATAACAAACAGACACATATATATTATGAATAAAAGGACAAGGAAAGATAATAGTCATGGTTCTATCTTCATAATCAATAGAATCATCAAACTTAAACATACAAAAAAAAAACCTGCACTACTTTATTAACCAGTATTACTCTAACTTCCCCTACCTGTAGCTGATCCTGAAGAAATATTCGTGCTGACAGCAGCGACACCAGCGGCCAGTTTCCCAACTTCTTTCAAAACGGGTGGCACGAGCGCGGGAATCGCGGTTTTCGTAGTTTTGGTGTTGGCGAAAACGTTCAAACGCGACGCCGCCTTGCCGGTTTTAGCAGGCTTTCCTTCCGATTGCTTTCCACTCATAATTTTAGGCAATAAATTTCCAGTTTATTAGTTATAAGTATATCACAACGCCTTATTCATTTACATAAAAATATTTGGGCGTGCGCACTGTGTAACGAGTAACGACCCCCGATGGGCTTTAGATAACCTAAAAATCGATTACGGTTTTTGTTTTGGGTATTTTCGGAAAATTAGTCCAAGTTCTACGTATATGGTGATTCACAGAAATTAAATAAAAGTTTTAATCAACTCCTCTAAAATAAATGTCCAGAAAAATTAAAAACGTCGCGGCGTCGTCACAAAACAAACCAAAACGCAACGTTGCCAATTTTATCTATTTTTGATTTTGAATTAATTTTTTTCTGAAACTATACTACTGTGATTAATGAAATGCCATTATGCTGCATTGAAAAAATCTTGCATTAAAAATAAAAATACGGGAATAGTATATTAATTAAAAAAAAATTAGAGCAGTTTCATTGAGATCCAAAAGAAAACGCTTTTAATATCGGCAACATCGCTAGACAAAATTGTAATTTGATTCAATTGAAATGACTATGATTATTGTTATCTCATTTTATTATTATAAGAGAGACAAGGACAAAAATGATATAGTGCATGTTAATTTAGAAACGAATTAGGAAATTTAATATGGCTGGCTGGCTGCTACTAACAAAAAAAATTTGTGGTTGGTTTGGTTTTTTCGTTTTCGGCGTTCCGTTTTTCAATTTCCGTAATTAATCAAAAAGGAGGCTGCCTTTCGGTCATCGATTAATTAAGTGCCGCTTATTCATGATTGTTTTTTAATTTCCCTTTCGAAGAAGCACCATAACTTAGGAGAATAGGTAAATAACCGCATTGTAAATTATTCTGTTTGCCTTCATTATTTTTTTAAATTTTCAAGCTATATGACCAGCTATAGAGAAAAGAGCATGGATCGGGATCGCGATCGTGATCGGTCATCTCGTAGAGATAGAGATGAAAAAGAGAGAAGCTATTCCAGGAGCCCCAGCAGGGAAAGAGACCGTCGCCGAAGAGGCAGCCGTGACAGCCGCAGGTAACTTTAAAAAGCCAATTTTTTCTCAGTAATTTATAACTAAAATTATTGTCTTTTGCAGTAGGCACTATACAGGCTCCAGAGAAAATCCCAAACCCAGTCATTGTTTGGGAGTTTTTGGTCTTAGCATTCACACCACTGAAGAGGAGCTGTACCATCTTTTCAGCAAATATGGTAGAGTAGATCGTGTGCAAGTGGTGCTAGATGCGAAAACAAGTCGGTCAAGAGGCTTTGCTTTTGTCTACTTTGAGAGCTCGGATGATGCCAAAGTGGCCAAAGATCAGTGTACTGGCATGAAGATTAGTGGCAAAAACATCAGAGTTGATTTTTCCATAACCGAGAGAGCTCATACACCAACGCCAGGAATTTACATGGGAAAACCTTCTCACCGGTCTTATGATCGGCATGACAGAGGTCGCAGGGATGATTATAGGGGTTCCAGATACAGTAGACGTTCCCCATCTCCTTATTACGGTGGCAGGAGCAGAAGGAGATATTCTAGATCTCGTAGTCGTAGTTACTCTCCCAGACGTTATTAGAATTATAGATATTTCTGGTATTTTGACAACACATCTTGAGTTTTAATTTTTGATCGATACAAATTTTTGTATTAGTTTCAAATATGTATTTTAAAGTCCAGCTTATTAGATTTAAATATATGGTATTGAATAATGCTTTTCTTTTCAGTGTTAATTTGTGAACCTATAATTTTGAAATAAAGTCTTGTGTATTTGTATTTGATTTTAGTGTTAGTTTTCATTTTTAGTTGTTGCTGCTTGTGTTGGAAAAGGACATTGTGGCTTTCCTAGGCCTCTCTTTGACCAACTTGAACATTTATTGTGGATAGAGATAAGATATAAAAACAAATCAATTCTGCTTGGTGTATTGTATAAACCACCTTCCGTTAATTACAAGCATCTTTGTTGCCTGGAGGATATTTTATCCATAGTAGCATCAAATCAAATCTTTATTAACGCATATAGCAGTATCATCATATGACTGCATAATTCTTGTGGGTGATCTTAACATAAATTTATTTACCACCAGTACAGAAAGCAATTATTTTCAGTCATTGCTTCAAGTATTTAATTTAGCTCAAGTACCTAATCACAGGACCCACAAGAGTAAGCAGAAGTGCCTCTAGCCTGATTGATGTTATTTGTATTTGTAAAAGGGTAGAAGTTATAAGTTCTATAGGATGTATAACATGCTGAATGAAACAGACCATAGACTTGTTCATTCGACAGTCAAGTTAGCAACGCCCAAGATATCTTCGAAGGTTGTAACATATAGAGATTTTAAATATTTCAATAGAGTGCAGTTTGATCTGGAAATGCAGCCATTAGATTTCGAAGTTGTTTTGCAGCAAGTAGGTAACTTTAGATAATAGAGTATTCTATGTTGTGCTCACCTGCGCAAAGCCAACAATTAAACCGGTCTACATAATTTCCACTTGGTTGATTTTAGCAGACATGCGTGGCGTTCGACAGAATGCGAGCTGTCCTAACAAACCGTACCTTTAGGCTCAAAGGGATACAAAAAAACTATTATGGTCAAGGATTATGACTCCTGGAATATTCATCACAGAAATAATATTGACATTCCTAATCAATTGAAGAATGTCCACGAAATAAGTAATAGGTACTTTCTACATAGGTAATAAATAAAATAATATTCCAATCGATGATAATACAGTTGATTACTTTCTACATATAATAGAAACCCTGAATAATGAACGACTTCACTTTAGGATTGATTACTGAGGATGATGTTTATCAGTCATTTAACCGAATATCTTACTTTTCAGTATAAATTATACTTAACACCTATATTTGCAGAGTTCTTCAAAACTTCTTTACAAACTGGAGTCTTTTCCATCTTGTGGTACTGTTCAATCATAAAGTCAATCCCAGAAGAGTTAAGGCGAATTTGTCATATGTATTCCTATCCTTGCTAAAATGTTGGAGTTTCTGATTGCCGACATGGTCTCGGAGTGAGTTAATGCTGAATATCATGTCGGAGACACAATCTGGCTTCCGCAAAGGGTATAACACAGCTACGGCGCTCACAAGGGTTTCAACTGATGTAACAAACATGGACTCATTGATGGCGTTTTGTTTGGTCCTTTTTAGACTATAGCAAGATAAATGGTTTTGAGGAGCGGGTGTCCCTGTGGTTTCAACAATATCTTGATGCTAGAACGCAGATCGTTGAGCTGGATGGGGTCAGTTCGGGCTCGGAGTGGATGAGGTATGAGGTTCCACAGGGAAGTGTTCTGGGACCCATGTTGTTTGCTTTGTATACTGGCGACCTTCTCAAGGTGATTCGGCATTGCTCAGTACACTTGACGACACCCAGCTCCTGTTGGGATTTCCACCTTAGAGGGCCTGCCTCGCAACTCGCAATAGAAGAGGTCAATATTGATTTAAACTCAATTTACAAGTAGTCAATTAATCATGGACTAAAGCTTAATACAGAAAAAACTAACTTTATGATTCTTGCCACACCTTCCGGTGAGGAATCGGTTTGATCTTTTTAATTTCAATTGCCTACATATTTACCCATTCAGCACAGACACATATCAGTGATGTAAAGTTACGTAAAATTGAGGATGTCAAACCTCTCATGCGATGTACTATGTAAATCACATGGATATAGCTCTGCGATAGCCGAATTTCCGCAACAGAAACATTACATTGAGGGTATGACTCAAATATAATATCACCGGGGTATTTCACGAGAATATAGAGGATACATGCTTTATAACACGTAACGGGTATGTAACATAACGCAATACCTATGAGACAAATCTGTAACATATCCCTTGTATGTTGTATTCGGTATATCTTGCGTATATTATTATTTAATATTGATGTTAGATGACATTGTTGCATGAAAAGTTTGTTAGTTTTTCCTGAGAGCCTGACCATGGATTCTAAAAATTTAGCCAATACTGTACAACTTTTGTATTTACACATTTCATCTACTTGTAAAGATGAAAGCTGTAGATGGGGTGTCAATACTTGAACAATATAACTTATTATTACATACCTAAAGTCAGAATTTGTAACATTATCCACTTTTTGTCAATTTGCCTTTTAACAGGAATTAGTAATGTTACTTTACCAAACTAGTAACATGATGTGAAAAGTTATTCAAGTACAAACGAGTGGATTGTTGCGGAACTTGTGGACCTCTGCAGGACGAGCGCAGCGAGTTCCGCAGTCATCTTATTCATTAATATTTTGTTCAAGTATGATACTAACCTGACTCACTCAAATGTCAGTTATTCTCATTACTTCAAAAACTACACGTTTCAGGTGAGTGTCTTATTTGAATAGTTCAACAGTATATTGGTGAGTAGATGGCTGATGCGGAACTCGCTGCGCTCGTCCCGCATTGGTCCACCCATAAGTTCCGCAACAATTCACTTATTTGTACTTGAACAATAACTTATTATATAAAGTCACAATTTGTAAGATTATTAACTTTTTGTCAATTTGCCTTTTAACAGGAATTAGTAATGTTACTTTATCAAACTAGTAATGTATTGTGACAAGTTATTCAAGTACAAACGAGTACCCACTAAGCAATGTAATATCGCTTTAATATTTCAGTAATGTTTCTAGATAATATTGTAATATTTCACTTTTTATTGCTGCTATATAAGTGCAAGGTTGCTGCAATTACTGAAACGGACTTATTCTAATATTCACAAATGCAATGTTTACAAAATAAACTTTTCTGCAATATCGCCTCAAACTTGTATTTTCATAAAAAATAAATTACCTTTGTAACATTAAAAACGCTAGCGCTAGCTTACAGAAACCTGCATTCAACGTTGTTTATAAACTTAGATAAATATATTACAGTTGCAATATTTTTATTGGTACTTTACAGAAATTTACATAATGAAATATTGTATATAGAGTTGAGAAAAGTTACATTTCATAACATTGTTATAATATTTGCTTTACTAACATTTTATAATGTTTCAAATATAATACATTATTGTGTCTACTGCAACATTTACTTGATAACTAAAACGAATGTTTCGTATTGAAGTTATATCAAATTTATATTCCTTCACATTGGATAAGTAATATTTTAGAAAGCTTAGCGTCACACCCACATAACAAAATTGCATCCTTAGAATGTAATAAGAATGTTCTTTTTTTAGGAGGAATGTGCCAAGAATGTTCGCCAAAACCATTATTGCGAATGTACTGAGAATGTTCTGAGAAAAGATTGTAGAAATACTGTTTGCAATACCCAAGAACGTCCTAGGAAATCCATTAGGATATTCCTAGAATATACCTATGAGATTCTCAGTACATCCTGGAAAGAATATTTCTGTTTGATTCTAAAAATATGCTCGAAATGTATATTTTCACATTCAAAGAATGTTTCTATGACATTATAGTTATGTTCTCAAAAGAATATTATACCTATATAATGCTTGAAATATTCTTAGAATATATCTACATATATATCATTCTCAATATGCATCCTAGACATAACATTCTTGTTTGATTCTAAGGATATACTTGGAATGTTAATTTTCGCTTCCAAATAATGCTCCTTTCAGCCCTTTTATATTTAGTCAAAGAGCTGTTGGAAAACTTCTCTGGAAAACACAAGTGTTTAACCAAAGCTCCGGTTTCGAGCTTGTTATGCTCTCGTCGCCGTAAGCATGCCAACTGAGAGAAACAGTTTCCAAGGTGATTCAAACGCGATGCAAGATGTAGATCTTTAATAGCGCATGGCTCCCTCTCTTGGAAGTCCTACAAAGCAAAAGAAAAAGAATATGCCTATAATATTCTTAGTAGGTTCTAGATAGAGCATTATTGTTTAATTGTTCAATTAAGATTTTTGAGTAGGTACTTTAGATAATTAGGTGAATAATATGAAAATATTCTTATCATGGTTACCTATACCTACATAACTTCTCAGCACAACTTGGTAGGTATATTCTTAATACTTGATAAAGATATTAGCCGAAAGAACATTTTTAGGGTACATTATAATAATGTTTTTATGACCATATTCAGATAGAGATAATGTTATATAAAGTAGGGTCTTAGCACAATCTTTTAGGTAGGTGCATAGAAGCAACATTCCTAGTACATAAATAGAACGTCCAAAAATGAATATTTCAATCGAAACAATCTTAGAATATTCATTGAACATTCCTGAAAGATCATTCCAAAAAGCACTTTGAGGGAATATTCTGAGAATATGAATGTTCTTTCACTGCTATGTGGGCATTACGTAATAAATTTTCTAAAGTAAGGTCGATACAATATTGCTGACAAATTTTGCAACATTACATGTTTAGTGGGTAGATTATTGCGGAACTTATGAGTGACCCAGCCATCTATTCACCAATATTTTGTTCAACTACAATACTAAGCTGATTCACTCAGTTGTGAATTTTTCTCATTAGTTCAAAAACTATGTACGTTTCAGGTGAGTGTCTTATTTGAACAGTTCAACAGTATATTGGTGAGTAGATGGCTGCGGAACTCGCTACGCTCGTCCTGCAGAGGTCCACTCATAAGTTCCGCAATAATCCACCTATTTTGTACAGGGTGTTTTTTTATATATTGACACCCCACTTACAGCCTTTACCTTTACAGGTAGATGAAAGGTGTAAATACAAAAGTTGTACAGTATTGGCTAAATTTTTAGAATCCATGGTCAGAAACAAGAATTGAATGTCAGAAATGTGAAATATTGCATGCTCTCAGCTTTTTCCAAATGGGATGCGCTATATTTGGTTCTATATATATTCTTGAAGAGCACAATTTTCCGATTTCAAAACTATATAGTTTGTTTATATTTGGTTGAGCCGTCTCCGACATATTTGGTTCCAAAAATTTTAGGTACTTGGTTTCTCTGATAGTATTTTTAAAATTTTTAGAACCAATAAATATGTTGGAGACGGCTCAACCAAAGCATCCCATTTGAAAAAAGCTGAAAGCATGCAAAATTTCACATTTCTGGACATTCAAATTTTGTTTCTGACCCATGGTTTCTAAAAATTTAGCCGAATCTGTACAACTTTTGTATTTACACCTTTCCTCTACCTGTAAAGGTGAAGGGTAGGTGGGGTGTCAATATACATAATAGTTATTTACATTACAAGTGCGTTTATGAACATGATTACAATAACGAGTGTGAAAGATTAGAACGACGAGGTCGTAGACCGAGTCGTTCTAATCACACGAGTGTTGTAGTAGTCCTGTTTAAACGCACGTGTGATGTACAACGTTTTATCTACAAAGCGAAAAATAAGAATGTTTTTTCAATGATTTTGGTTTATTAGTAGTTGTTTACCTTCATTTTACCTTCACAGGTTTACCTTTCCTTTGACATTTGTCAAATCACCAAAAATAGTTGTGTTATAGATTCATAACCTCGTCCATAACACCACTAGTTGTGTTATGAATTCATAACCAATAACACCACTAGTTGTGTTATGAGACTCATGACTTAACTCAAATACTAGAAAAATGGTTATGTAAAAACGTCATAACCAAACGCTTGTAGATAAAAAAACAATATTTCACATTTCTGACATTCATTTTTTATTTCTGTCCATATGGATTCTAAAAATTTAGCCAATAGGTACCTAGGTATACTGTACAACTTTTGTATTTCCACCTTTCATCTAGGTACTTGTAAAGGTAAAGGCTGTAGGTGGGGTGTCAATATATAAAAAAACACCCTGTACAGTTAGTTTTTGAATAATCATACAATTTTGTATATTTTCGCATGGTTCTCCATTAGTAGGTCGATCGAGTGTACGCCACTGGTACTTTCCTGTTCTGATAACCACGATGCTCGAGGCTGTGTCTGTGCGCATTGCGCTTGATCATGATATTCAAGTTCAAAAATAAAAATAAAAAAAAGAGGAAAAGTTCCAAACATTTGTCACTCAAAAATGACAAAAAATCAAAACATAAAAAAATTAAAAATTCCACTTTCAAAATTCTAGTTAATCGGTCAGAAATTCCAGTAATGACCTCGAACGTTACAGTGTTGAGTTACAACGAAAGTCTGTTGCGTAAATCAGATGTGGATTTGCTCAAAGGGCCCCACTGGCTGAACGACACGATTATATCGTTTTATTTGGAATATTTGGACACAGACTTTTTCGAAAACAATAACTCCCTGTTATTTGTTTCTCCAGAAGTGACGCAATGCATTAAAATATCCCCCCAGAGAGAACTCGATATTTTTCTGAATCCCTTGTTGGAAAAGGAGCCCAAGTTTATATTTTTTGCTTTAAACGACAACGAACAGACAGAGTATTGTGGAGGAACTCATTGGAGCTTATTGGCTTACTCTAGGCCAGAAAAAAGGGTATTTCATTATGATTCTTCTCGTGGGATTAATGATGGCCCAGCCTTGGATTTAGCAGAGAAAATTTTAAAATATTTCCGATTGCCTTTTGAAGGAAGATTCGAAGAAGTATCAACTCTACAGCAAAATAACGGCTACGACTGTGGGATACATGTGTTGTGTAATACAGAACAATTAGCTAGCTATGCAAACCATTATGGGAAACTTAAAGGTTGTCCAAAAATAACACCAGACCAAGTACAAAAGAAACGATGGGAGATTTTAGATATAATCAACAAATTAAAGATGAAACAGAGTTGATATTTTACAAATTGTATTAGCCTTTTTTATACATTTTATATAAATTTAAGCTGTTGTTTTATTTTTGTTATTTTACTTTTCAAAAGTAATAAGTATAGGCAGTATAGGGTATAGTATAGCTACCTACTTATAGGTACTGAAAAAAAAAACATAATCACATCAATCTCAACATAAACATTATATTTTTGGTTTTCTACCACTACCTATCAATAATTATTATTGCTAAAACATAATCTATCATATTCTGTATAATTTTCCTTATAAAAATCTTGCAATCCAGTAAAGTATAAAGGAATTCCTTTCAAAACTTGTGAGTTTGCTGCATTTATATGAACGGCCACATAATCGCCAGGCTTCAAAAACTTAAAGTTTGCTCCATCCTTTGAAGGCACTTGATCGCTTCCAGGCAAAATAACTTTAATATTATTATCATTCCTTCCTTGAAGATGACTTTCAGATCTCTTACTGACACCTTCTATAAGGACCAAGTGAATGTTTCCAATTTCTGACAAATTTAATATTTGAGCATTTTTCCTAAAAACTTTCACCATTCTTTGTATTCTTTCTGCTTTTATTTCTTGAGGCACGTCATCAATAAACCTCCTATGAGCAGTTGTTTTTTCTCTCATACTATAAGCAAACAGATAGGCTGTATTATACTTGACTTCTTCCATAAGAGAGAGTGTATCTTCAAATTCTTCCTCAGTCTCCCCACAGAATCCGCAAATAAAATCTGAACTTAAAGCCACATTAGGTATTTGTTTTCTAATGCGAGCAACTAATTCTAAATAGGCTTCCCTTGTATAACCTCGTCTCATTCTTTCCAAAACTGCTGAATTGCCTGATTGTGCTGGCATGTGAAGATATTTGCAAATATTTGGCTGTGATTGAATGATTTGAATAACTTCATCAGGGAAATCTTTCGGATGAGGTGAGGTAAATCTAATTCTCATTTCAGGGTTGATCTCAGATACTCTGTGTAATAAATCAACAAACCTTAAACCACCCTTTTTTGCTTTATAAACTGTTTTAAAACCTTTTGCCAAACTAGTGATATTATCTATTGTGTCTTTCTCCGATATATCTCTGTAACTGTTAACATTTTGACCTAATAAGGTAACTTCTTTAACACCCTGTTCTGATAAATGTTCTACTTCTTTTAATATAGAGTCAACAGGCCTTGATCTTTCTCTGCCTCTGGTAAAAGGTACTATACAATAAGTGCACATATTATCGCATCCTCTCATTATTGAAACAAAAGCACTTATGGCATTTTCATTTAACCTTACTGGGGTGATATCTGCATAAGTTTCATCTAAAGATAAAAGTACATTTATTGATTTTTGGTCATTGTTTGTCAGTGCTAAAAGTCTGGGTAAATCCCTGTAAGCATCAGGACCAACAACAATATCAACTGTTTGATCAGTTTCTAAAACTTTTTCCTTTAATCTCTCAGCCATGCAACCTAAAATTCCAACTTTAAGAGTAGGTTTGCTTCTTTTTCTTTTGGTTTTTAGGCTTTTAATTTCCTTTAGTCTGTGCCAGATTTTGTCTTCTGCCCCTTCTCTTATAGCACAAGTAACTGGAAAGATTTTGTTATAAAACTGGGTGTTTGTTTCAAGGGAATAAGTTACCAACTAAGACGACATCAGCTTCAAATATATTGTTTGTTTTTATGTAGCCCTTGTCTTTTAAAATGGCCCATACTACTTCTGTATCGTTTACATTCATCTGGCATCCGTAAACATCAAAGTAAACTTTTCTTTTTGTTCCATACAGTTGAGGTTGTATTAAATAAGGTACAACCTGAAATAATTACTGTTTATGACGAAAAAGTATCATTTAATACTGACCTCTTCATCAGATAAATGATCCTGCATCTTTAAATTATTATCTTTGAAAAAGTCCTTCAGGTTTGGACCATTTAGGAGTTTGTTTTTGAACTGAATTGTTTCCATTTCTTTATCAAACTTATCCTTGGCTTCATTTTGGAAAACTTTGGTGTTTGAAATGTTCCGGATACAAAACTTGCAATGATTGTAGGAGGGAGTTTTCAGGCCTTTTTGAAGAGAGGCGTAAACTGCTCTGGGAATTCGATTAAGATTCATTTGAGTTTTTCTACAGGGAATTTTATAATGAAAATGATTTCCCAAAAACACAGGAACTTGTGTTTACTATTTCCTAACCTAACAAAAAGGTTGTGGGGGTATTAAGGGTATTTCCCTTCGATTAGGGTATTTCACAATAAATTTTTTATGGAACAAAATTTAAATTTCCAGTGAATCTTTTCTCTGGGACATTACATTTAATTTATCTATCAAAATTTCCAAATCAATCGTTTGTTAGTGTTTCAGATTCAACCAGAGTCGCTTTTCGTTTCCAGTGACGCACTTTAGGCACTCCTGAGCTGCTCTAGAGCGCCCTGGACTGTTTATAGGCGTTCCAGTGCATCAGATTTTCGCACAACTGTTCATTTTTCTTCTCCCCTGCCATTTCAAACAACAGTAATTTTATGGGTGCATCAAAAACACGATCCCTAAAATCCTGTCCAGTGACACAACAGTTGTTTGGAGCACCAGCGAGTATTGTCAACTAGCTACTTAGGAAACGAGGACCGAGGACCCGATATTCAACCTTATTAATTTAATTGCCGACAGACAGACTTGAACCAGTGTTAGTACCGCCATCCTGGCCGGGGATTCTAAAATCACGATTCGACATACGACTCGACATCGAGACGATTTTTCCGACGATTCTAGGTTAGAAATCTCATTGGAATTATACCTTTCGAGACGACAAGGCCGGTATCGTTGTCGAGTCGTGTGTCGAATCGTGATTTTAGAATCTCGGCCCTGGGAATACTCCAATCATCAAGTTTCCCCCTCCCCAGACCCCAGTGCAAGTATCGCCACCCTGAGAAAGCCTCTCTGGGAAACTGTATCGTCATCTAGTGCAAGTACCGCCACCCTGGGAAAGTCCCTCTAGATGAGCATCAACTAAACGACGATTAACATTCTACGTAACATTAGCAATAAACCGACATTCCTTCCTAAGCTGGGTTCGGCTTGCACACTTCGTGCACTCCGAGTGACTCCGTTCGCACTCCATCCGTTGTCTGATTCGTTAAACGAACGGCTGGAGTGCGGACAGAGTCACTCGGAGTGCACGGAGTGTGCAAGCCGAACCCAGCTCTACACCTTTTCCAATTGTATTTCAGAAGGTGTCAAATGTATTTCAGAATAGTCAAATGTAGTTCAGAAAGCGTCAAATCTATTTTAGAATAGTTAAATGTATTTCAGAAAGCGTCAAATGTATTTCAGAATAGTTAAATGTATTTCAGAAAGCGTCAAATGTATTTCAGAATAGTTAAATGTATTTCAGAAAGCGTCAAATGTATTTCAGAATAGTTAAATGTATTTCAGAATAGTTAAATGTATTTCAGAAAGTGTTAAATGAATTTCAGAATAGTTAAATGCTACTAGCTCCTGTTGGGTCAGTCGAGCTCACGTAGGAAGAACTGCACAGACATAGGTAGGTAATTTTTTGTGTCGCCTCCCTCCTGAATTATTTTCGCCGAATTTTCACTTTTTGAAACGCTTTTGGCTATTCTGAAATACATTTTACGCTTTCTGAAATACATTTAACTATTCTGAAATACATTCAACGCTTTCTCAAATACATTTGACTATTCTGAAATACATTTAATGCTTTCTCAAATACATTTGACTATACTGAAATACATTTCACGCTTTCTGAAATACATTTGGCTATTCTGATATACATTTAACAGTTTCTGAAATACATTTGACAGCTTCTGAAATACAATTGGAAAAGGTGTAGTAGCGTCAAACGTGTGACCCTACACCCCCCGACAGACAGGCTGTGACAGTATGAAGCTACGGGTGTGGTCGGCGTAGACGTGTGGAGCCTCTTAAAATCTGAAAAGCGGTTCAGGTTCCAATAATGCACAGTAGTGCACCCAGAAAATTATGTTTGGGAAGGGGCCCTACAGAGGTTTGAAGTGCCAAGGTGCCACGCCCTGATGTTGCTACATTTTTTATACGTAAAAATACAGTACTGAGGTGCTGTCTGAGGGGGCCCTGGCCCGATGGCCCCCCCCCTGGGTGCGCCACTGATAATGCATCAATTAGAATTTGGGTTCTCTGCTTGGAGTCCATCTAGCCAACAAAAACGAAAACCCCTTTTCTATTTGACCATAACAGATTTGACATTGACAATCAACTGTCATAGTTAGGTTTATTGGTTATTTTCTATTTTGGTAATGAGTTTGTGCTAAAACTACTAATAAAAAAAAAAGGAAAAACATTTACAACATTGGTCGATTCTGGTTTCTGGTATTGAAAAAAGAAAGTCCGAATAGCGAACGTGTGCTGTTGTATTTGTGCCCCGACGATTCACTATGGATTTGCTGCAAGAAAAAGCCCATAAAACAGGTAAATAGAGTCAAAACTGGTCCAAGTTTGTAGTGTTGGAAGGATTACTAATGATCTAAATATAATCCTGATGGCTTAATTTTTACGATAAAAAGAAACTGGGTGAACTCTGCTTAGAGGATGGTGCAAGCAAAATACGTAACAGTCACTGAACCGGGTAATTTTTAATTATTATTGTTGTGAAATTTAATAAATTATTGTTTTCCTGCTCCATATTAATGTTCAGTCGATTTTAAATAACATCCTACACCTTTTTTTTTAAATTATTTAGTTGCCTGATTTGAGAATGTTTTGATGGTTTTATCCTCAGTTTCCAACTGCACTAACCAATTAGCAATAATATAATAATACAGCTTTTATTAAGCAATAGTTACAGTACAGGAAGTTTACACTACACAAAGCTCATTAACACTGCATAAGTGCTGATAGTGTTTAATTTATAGGCTACTTGATTATTCATACAACTTTTACATGTCTGATAATTTTGCTTTAAACATTTGCGTCTTAATAACATGGTTATTATAATTCAGTTAACATAATTTTATAGAAACTACACGGATAATAATTAAATAGGTCCAAAAATCCCCTGTAATCTGGATGAGAGATTTTATTTAATTTGTGTGCCCTTTACCTCAGTGATTTATGAAACAATATTCAGGCCTTCTATTGGTTGAGGAAGAAAATGCCAGCTCTGATAAGTCCACTTGATCACCAAACCCTGAGTACATTCTATTTTCAGTCAAGTGCACTTCAATTCATGAATTTATGGATTTATTTTCACAATATGGACATTATTTTATTATTTTGTTTTTTCTTATTTCAAATAGGTACACCTTACAAACACTTATAGGTAATTACAAGTGAAGGGGGCTGCTGGAATGATACTTACCTACCAAAAAATAGATAAAACAAAACAGATAAATAAATAATACAAGAATAAATAAATAGGCTAGATGGCACACATAAAACACAGCAATTGGGCTTAAAAGATGCAGCTTCAGGTGACGACCAAGTAACAGTTCTAGATCTCTTAAATTTGAAGTCGGATCTGCTTCCAGTCTTAACTAAACTTGTAAATGATGCTAAAATGCTAAATACTGGAATTTTTCCAGAAGAACTTAAAATTAGCAAAATAAGTCCTATATATAAGTCTGGCGATAAGGGTTGTATGCTTGGTTGTATGAACAATTACAGGCCTATTTCAGTGGTTGGTGTGTTTTCTGGGATTCTTGAAAAAATAATCAAATCCAGAATGGTCTCATTTTTAGATAAATATGTTCCCCTAGACATTAATCAATATGGATTTGTTAAAAATAGTTGCACACTTAGTGCTACAACAGATTTGGTGGATTGTATATCAAGGGTCTTGGATTCCAGCCAGATTGCTGTGGTAATTTTTGTGGACCTAAAAAAGGCTTTCGATGTGGTGAACATTGAAATTTTGTTAAAAAAATTAGGAAACATGGGATTCAGGGGTGTTATATTTAATCTTATCAAGTCTTATCTTGTTGGTAGGAGACAGTATGTAAAATTGGGAAGCACGAAAAGTGCATAATTAGGTAACACCTGTGGGGTGCCGCAGGGGTCAGTTTTGGGTCCGCTTCTTTATTCTCTGTATGTTTTCAATCTAAAATTTGCCAATTTGAAGGGAAGATATTTCATATACGCAGATGATACAGCATTGGTTTATACGGGTAGCGATGTTGAAACATTAAATCAGGAAAATAATGCTGATCTTATGAATTATGTGGACTGGTTATACTGCAATAAACTGAAAATTAATGTAGATAAAATGAAGTATATGGTGTTCAAACAAAAAAACAAAGTTAATGAAAATTTAAATATTCTTATTAATAATATAGTAATAGAACAGGTTTGTATAATGAAGTATTTGGGATTATTTTTGGATAGTAAACTTAGTTGGAGTTATCACATAGAGCATATAACCAATAAATTGATCCCAATGATTTCAGCTCTATTTAAACATAGATATTATTTGTCATACAAAAGTAAATTAGATGTACCTATATAATGCATATTTCTTATCTCACCTAAGATATTTGTTGCCCATCTATGGTACTTCTAATTTAACAAACTTCAATGCAGTGCAAATATTACAAAACAAAGTTTTAAAGATATTATATAATTATGATAGATTAACGAGTACAGAAAGACTTTATAAAGAATTAAAAGTTTGTAAAATTTTTGAACTACTGGAATTTGAACAATGTTAACTTATGTATAAAATGTTAAATAGAACACAAAAAACTAATATAAATATTGTATTTGCAAATGATATACATGAACATACAACTAGATCTCAAAACAGTATTTATCTCACAAGAACACTTACTAATGTAGGTCTAAACAATCCAATAGTTAGAGCATCAAAAAAGTACAATAAGTTACCAAATGAAATTAAGAACATAGGAAATTATAATGCATTTGTTAAAAAAGTTAAGATAAGTTTTGATCATTAAGATTTAAGTATATTCTTTTGTTATGTTGAGTTATTATTAAATTGAAAAAGGCATCCAGCACTAATAATGTTAAGTAGCGATTCTCGGGGCCAGTGATTTTACACTGATTAGAGAATTTTGTAACCAAATGTTGTTATTATTAATTGTTATCAATAAAGTCGTTTTCAAAAAAAAAAAACATAATGGTGTGTATCATCCTCTAGTGAATTTTTTGATTGAGACAACAGTTGTCTTAAAAATATATATGTTACACTTTCTCTAAGATATCGCTATATTCTATCAAGATATGGCTCAGCAGTGAGCAACTTGACCCGTCTATTACAAAAATGTTGTAGTTCCTTAGTCTAAGGTTAATTTTAGGAACATGAAATTTGAGGTCTATAGCCTAGCAGTCCCAAGGTGGAAAAAAACTTCGGGAACTATATAATAACTAGGTGCTTTTTAGGTGCTAATTAGGGCCTCTAATTATAAATTAGGTGCTCCTTTAGTTTTTGAGGAAATCAAAAAAAAACTAAGGGACTGCTAGGTTTATGAAAGCTAGAAATCCCCTAATAATTAAAAAAAAATCTGTAACTCAGTAAATAATTAATCAATTCTATTTTTTCTTCGACTATTTAGGAGCACCTAATTCTGATACAAAAGAAATTTTTGGAAAAATATTTTTAACTATAGGGGACTACTAGCTTTCATAACCCTAGCAATCCCTTAGTTTTTTTTGATTTTCTCAAAAACTAGAGGAGCACCCAATTTTTAATTAGAGGCCCTAATTAGCACCTAAAAAGTACCTAATTATTATATAGATCCCGAAGTTTTTTTGTCATTCTGACACACCACCAAGTAACCGTAAAGCCAGCAGTCCTCTAATAATTAAAAAAAAAATTGTAACTCAGTTAATAATTAATCAATTGTATTTTTTCTTCGACTATTTAGGAGCACTTAAAAAGCACCTAATTCTGATACCAAAGAAATTTTTGGAAAAATATTTTTCACTATAGGGGACTAAGGTAAAGTACCCAGTTGTTGACATGTTAAGGGTATCCTTGCTTATGATCACCACGCATTTTCCAAATTTTTAATCCCAAGGCTTTGATATATTTTTTGGCGTGTTTTCAAACTCATAATTAAATGTGTAGATATATTATTTACCCTATATTCCTATTATTTATGTTATTATGCCAAAAATACCTGAAAGGTGATAAAACCCCAATAGTTGACACCCAAAAAAGTTCACTTCGCCAAAAGTTGACACATTTTTGATCCAAAGGTTGACATATATTTTTTTACAAAACCAAATTTTTACTTTTAAGAAATTTTATCACGGTCTGTGGAACTAAGAAGTATATTTTTCTAAGTGTACAATTTTTCAAATGAAATATATGCACATAATAACCAATTATTTTAATTTTTTTTAAGTACATGTTGTGGTTCCATTACTTGACACTCTTGAAACCAATAGTTGACATGTTGGCTGTATCAGTAGAAACCCTGGTAGAAACATGAATAATGTAAGAATCAAACTTTTTATGAATAAAAAATCACATTGGGAAACTTTTTGTTGGGGAAAAAATACAAATTTCAATTCCAAATTTGTAATAAAAGAAATTGCTTGGAAAGCATTGGTACATTGTGTTTTTTTGCTGATGTAGCTGCAGTGAGCCCCCTATCGCAATCATCCAACGCAGCAATCATGTCTTCTGGTAGTTCTGGTGCATATTTCAGCAATTTCCATTTTTCATACGTCATCTCTTGATTTAAACCTGAAAGCACCAATTGTTGACACTCCAAAGCTCCAAACATTAACAGGGATAACAGGGGTGTCATCTATTGGATCTACGACCGTTACATTCCCCAAACCCATATCTAGGTTTCTTTTTAATCCAGAGCAATAAAAAGAGACAGACTACAATGTTAAAATATTTTTACCGCCAAAAATCCATAAGTTGACACTAGGTCAACATTTGGATCACCCCTCGATTTGGGCTTCAATAGTTGACACCCCCCCTTAAAAAGTTTATGCCAGTTGTTTAAGAGATAAAACAATAATAAATATGTATTACAATGTATCTTATTATACAGTAAATATATATTATTCATAATTTATCAACCCTACCTTAGCTTCGAGAACTTTTGTTTTTATATCTTCTTAACTATTTTCACTAGAAATCTGGGAAAAAATTCAAACATTTGCACCTGTTCACTACTTCTTGCCACAATTTTGAAAAAACTTATCATTTCAAATCCATACATCAGCTATAGCCTGAAAAATGGCTCCAACAATACTATAAGCTATTTCAGTTAGCTTATAACCGATATAAATTCTTATTTTTGGGAATAATATGCTAATGTGTCAACTTTTGGGACCCTGTCAACAACTGGGTACTTTACCTCACTAGCTTCCATAAACCTAGCAATCCCTTAGTTTTTTTTTTGATTTTCTCAAAAACTAGAGGAGCACCTAATTATTATATAGATCCCGAAGTTTTTCTGCCATTCTGACAGACCAACATGTGAACGTAAAGC